GAAGAAGATCTAGAAGTCGTACCCTAAAACTTGATTGAATCGCAGCTTTTATAGCAAATAGATCCGCGATCTCTGCTCGAATGCAAAAATGGCCGCTCGAGCAGAGTGACTAAAATGCGTGTGACTAAACAGGGTATACGCTCAAGCGCAGGAATGGCCGCTCGGGCGGAAAAAAATAACTCCTAGTACTTTTGCAGGCGAGTGAAACTTCTGAACGGATTACATCTCCGCTCGAGCGCAGGAATGGCTGCTTGAGCAGTCAAACAACTTCGACTGCAATTTTGATCACAAACTCCTCTACATAGGCACAATTCGGGTTGGATTCACATATAAATACTCATAGCCTCACTTAAATAAAAAATCGAATAAAATTATAACTGAAATGAATTTTGTTAAACGAGATTGTCAAGAATAAAAACTTAACACTTGTGTTAGAGAAAACGTTCTCGGAACATAGAAAGAGGGTTCTTTCCGATGTAACCAAAAAAAGAACAAAGAAAGAGGGGAGAGTGAAACAGAGGATCCAATCACTCTTTACATGGAGGACATATATTGACACCTTTTCACTTTGTCGTGAAATATGGTTAATTCTCTTGTTGGCCATGCTTGCTTTGTGTACAAGATAACGGAGAAAGATAAACAAATAAAAAAGACTGCATGGCAACATAGGACATGGAGGCCCCATATTATATATATATATATATAATACAATCTTGAAGAAGTCCTCTTCAATGTTGGAGTATCTAATAAGAAGGGTGAGTGGGGGATCTAGATAATGAGTAGTAGGTTACACTGGAAAAGAATGTGATGAGTAATGGTGGTGCTATCTATGGTTGATATGGTTCTTCCAATCCAAAGTGAGACCAATGCTAGTCAAACATATATAAGAGTGATATGCATGGGCAACCCCAACCATAAAGTAAATGGTGGCTTTTGGGTATAGTATATTTATTATATATGGATTAACTACTTTCAAAAGCTAAGTGAATCAGAAAAGAATTAAAATGTGGCAGTTTTCTGTTATATCTCTATTAATTTGACTACAAATCATCAAAAAGTTGAAGATTTTATTTTATTTTTTATAGGAATATTGTATCATCAGAATTTGGCAATTAATTGAATGAATTCAGATTAATTAACTGAACTCTCTCTGCCAGTTTTTTACAAATTACAAAAGAATAAACATATAAATATGTAATATCATTTGTTTTTTAGAGAGAGACCTGTATAAATTATCCTTGACAAAATAAATAAACAAATAAAAAACTAATAATCAGAAAGATTTTTGCAAGGTCAAAACCATAAGTGTTCAAATGGTCACTACTACAACCACCAGTGGAGAAAATTGTTGTTAACTTTATTGTAAAATAACTAAAAGATTAGTTTATTATTTATTTATTATTAAGAGGAGTTGCTAGTCTTCATGATATCTCTCATTCAAAATGGTTGAAAAAGGGGATTGTGGGCTTGTCCTTTTAAAATTTTATCAGTATATATATATATATATATTTAATTTTTGGTGTAAGTGCACGAGTGATACAGCACATTTCCACATTGTTGCCTCTTCACTTTGTAATTGCTCATTTATTTATTTTTTGATTTCTCAGCAGTTATTTTAAATATAAGAGTTTTTTTTTTAAGAATTAGTTAAAAAGTTAATTTATTAGCAAAATTTATTATCCTACAAAAATGTTCATTCTAAAAAAATTAGTTTATTTTATATATTTTTTATTTTTTTCAACTTTCTAAAATGGCTAGAGCAGTTTTTTTAAAATAGCTAAAACGTCCATAGTGAACAAACAATAATTTCAATTTTCTCAACAGTTATAGATCTAAATAATCACAATAAACAAACAAAGAAACATCTAATCTTGTTGAATCCACACGCTTAGATGCAATGCATACATATAATAGCTTTGGAAACTCCTTTGCAAGACTCAGCCGATGGTGACATCAACCAATCCATGCGGCGATTCCTAGTCAAATTTGTCAGGTGGTGTGGTGAAGGGTTAATGTATTTTTTCGCACAAAAATTTCTAATCAATTCATTGGGAGAATCTTATCTGTTCCTAAGCTTGCTTAAGTCTATAAAATGTTTCATTTCACAAAAATCAATTATCTTAATCATTTTTTTTTTTATCAGTAAAAAGAAACTTTATTGATTAAAATCAATGTACAAATAAATATTGAAAAAAGACATCAATAAAGCAAAGATAAATGTTCAAAACTCTCCAATCCTAACTAAGTTGTACTGAACAAAAATCAAATCATCTGCAAGCACGATACCACATAACCAATCCAAAAAACACTAGAAAAATAAACAACCTTTAATATTGCACTATTAATGCTAATGGAACTAGTAATTAAATATGTATAATATAATACTCCACCATCAATGCACTCAATCTCTTTGATTTAACCTGCCTCCAAATCATTCTATTAATTACATCACCCAACATGAGATCTCTTGGCCTGAATTTTCCACTAAGAAGAATGGTAATTACATATAGGACTTTGTTAACGGGAATTTTTAACACGTGTTAAAAAAAATTCAAAAAGAAAATTGTACATTTTATATGAAAATAGATGTAATAAAAAATAACTAAAATTTTTAAATCTCTTAACATGTGTCCTATACATGCATTTCTTTCTTTATGTTTGGCTATAAATTGTTGACTATCAATTTATTTAAAAATTTATCACCAATTGGAGCTTGGAGCTTTTGCTAGCTCCAATCTCCTCTTTATTGATGTACTTTTTCATACTTCGTATGTTCCCATCAATAAAGATTTATTTTGCCGATCAAAAAAAAAAAATTATCTAAAAATTTAAACTTTTAAAGAGGGTTATATCTCGAACACATTCCTCAAGTGTGACCAAATTATTCTCCATAAATAAACCAAATCGAAAATGATATTTATTATATGCTTTAATATCATGATAATTTTTTTATTTTCATATCAACAAAAATCAATTATTAATTGTTAGTTGAGCACACTGGAAGAATTGAACCCCCAACCTCACCCTTATAAGCACATGAGTGTTGGACCCATGCCACAATACCATCGGCTTTTTTATAATTTATACTCAAAGTAGATTCCAATCTAATCACAGATATCTTATCAGTAGGAGCTTGTCAATAGGATTCATCAAACTTTCTATTCCATTTTGTGTAAACATGTCTCTACCTGTTTGTAAAGCATTAGGCAAAGATCTAACCTCGAGCCACTAAGAAGAATGCAATGCATAGAATACTAATAATAAAGCTTAGTGAAAGAACAATCTAGTAATAAAGCTTCAAAATCAAGCTATGAAACAAAGATCCAATAGCGTATACATCTCTCCCATCTTGGCTCCCAAGAAAAGATTTAAAAAAGGGGGGATAAGGCGTAATAAAATAAACAAACAAAAAAGACATATTATATTAAAATATAAAACATGTTGGTGGTTGCAGTAATTTTTTTATTGCAATTATTTTGACATCCAATTACATAAAAATGCAAGTAAATAATTAACTTGATAAAAGTATCAATATTTAAAAAATAAACAAAATTAATTATCATGGAGAACTTGGTTTTTTTTTTGGATCAGTGAAAGTTAATGGTTAGTTGTTAAATTAGCGCATCGGGAGAGTTGAAATTCATTTACATATACCTTACAAGAAAATCTTGCCCTTCCATTTCACTCCTAAGAATAGAATCGAAGACCTCTCTCTTAAGAGAGACTTGGTGGCCAAAAGATTATGTGGTTGGAGCTTGCTCCGGTTTTGTTGCTGTTTGTTTTTGTTATCTGTTGCTGTTAGATTCTGGTGTTTCAAACAGAGGAGTTGCCACATAGTGTTGGTTCTATCTGTTGGTCTGCTATGCACTGCTGGTTGTTTTGCTGTTTTGATCAGGACCTATCTTTCTTTTGATCTTGTTTGTCTTTGTCTTTGTTTTTGCTTTGTTCATTGGTTCCTCACCAACTAGGAGGTTGGGGCTTTATCTAGCTCCAAGCTTCTCTTTATTGATGTAATTTACCGTACTTCGTATGTGTTTCATCAATAAAGTTCACTTTGCTGATAAAAAAAAAAAAGTAGGTTAGAATCTTTGGTTTATCAAGATGGGACTTGCAGTAGATCCCATGAGTCAAACTAGACAATTTTGCCCACTTTATACTAGAGAGGACTTCAATTGGTAACATTTATGGAGAATATCAAAAAAGTGAAGAGTGAAAAAATAATTACAAAATAATGAAGGTATAAGTGATTTACATTATGTAAATAAATCTTGTACCTTCATTAGTTAGAAATTTTTTTCTTAACATTTCAATTTTTTGAATTTCTCTCTAATATTTGTTATGTTTATAAACTTTCTTGGTATAAAAGGTTGGTTTAGTAGATGAGGCGTTCACTTGTGTGATATTTAGGCCTCGTTTGGGAACAGACTAATTTAGTAACTTTTTGGCTATTTGGCTAAAAAGGTAGGTAAAAAAAACTTGTATGTTTGGGATGACTTTTTGGCTAATTACGAAAAGATGTGCAAAAAGTAGAGAGAAAAGAGAATTTTTGACTTTTTGGTATGGGTTGTTGACTTTTTGACTAATTTAGTAACTTTTTTGCTAATTGGTTAAAATAGCCTCTTGCCAAACGAGGCCTTAGTTCGAGTCATGTCGCTATATACACAATTTTTCTTTCCAATTCCCCTTCTATAGGTTAAAAAATAACAATAATAAATAAATAAAAAATAAAAAAAAACACGCTCTTGGTATGGAGAGAGAGAGAAAAAAATATGTAAAAAAAATGCAAAATCTAATGGAAGAGGTAGGGACAAAGATCTTATCAACAAGGATGTTTTTGTCTAACAAAATCTGAAGGTCCTGGGTAGGACCCAAAAAGATATCCTTGCCATCTACTTTTTTCCTATATAACCCCCAAGCCCCTTACCCTGAACCCCCCTCTTCTCTTCCTTCACGCCTCTCTCTCTCCACCTTTCTTTATTTGTTCAAGCTTTTCTTTTTTTTTTTTCTTTTTTTTTTTTTCTCTTTTTTCTCGCCCCACTCATCTTTGCTTGTGTTGCTGATATATATATTTAAGCCAAATTGCTCTTGATCATGTAAGTCTAGCTAGTAGATAGTGAGTGTTGAGGTAGTGCCACTTACTTAGTTACATTACATTACGCACTTGGAGTATCTATATACATATATAAAATATGAAGGAGAACGGTGGAAGGAAACAAGGGGCAGCTTCCCCTTGTGCAGCATGCAAGCTTCTACGGCGGAGATGTGCTCAGGATTGTGTGTTTGCTCCTTATTTTCCGGCCGACGAGCCTCAGAAGTTTGCCAGTGTTCACAAGGTCTTTGGTGCTAGCAATGTTAACAAGATGTTGCAGGTTCTCTTCCCATGCATGCATTCTCTCTCTCTTTATCTCTCTCTCTCTCTTTCCTTGTGTTAATTTTTTTTACAATTGAAAAGACTGCAAAACGTAACAACAAGACTCAAACTCAGGAGTCTCACAAGCCAATCCTTTAATTTTAAGCATCTTAAATACTCTTCTTGTAAGACATGGTGCTTGTGCCACTATATCCCCTCTGTCCCAGGACACTTCAACTATGTCGAAATTTTAATATTTTGAGATTTTTCTCACATTTGCTGACTGAGAGTACATCATAATAAAACAAAAAAAAATTAACGATAAAAAAATCCCTGTGCTACGAGCCTACAACTTTCATGACATTTTGAGATGTCACATCAAGTGTTTTTAGATTAATTTAAAGAAATGCTCATGTCTATACTAAATTATGGAAAATGGTTTGGTGTGTAATATAATCTTATATAAAATTATGTGAATTTTCACAAATTTATATAAGTGAACTCCCAAAATTGAACACAAATTTGTGTAAGTTTATAAAAACTTACATGATTACACAAATTTTTGTTCAATTCACGTATTTTTGTAAGATTATTTATATATATTTATTAAAATTTACGTAATTTTGTGAAGAATTATATACGGTATGCAATGTGTACGGAACAATTCTCCCTTAATTATATCTAGTTTCCTTAGCTAACTAATCCCTTTTTTTTCCTTCTTGTTAATTGTTTTATTCTATTTCTTCATTTTAATTTATTAAAAATAATTACAATGACTAAATTTGGATATACATATTATATGATGCGTCACAAATATATTAGCATAACAAATAAATGTGAGATTTATTGAATTAATACATTGATGACGCCTTAAATAGAATTTAAATTTGACAACTTGAAATTATTACTTCAAAAAAAAGAAGAAAAAAATAAAAAGAAAATTAAGGCTATAACTATTGTTAGATTATGATTTTGATTTGTATAATTTAGGTAACGAGGATATATTAATTTTTAAAATAATTAACCAGGAAGTGATGATTTAAATTCTTGACCACGGTACTAAAGTCGCTTGGAACGATATATAATGCTCTAGTGCTAACATACTATAATCTTTTAATAATATACTATTTGTCAAAATAATATATATATTTGTAAAAACTGTTACTAAAGTAGTAAAGTAGTGACTTTTTCACCGTTATGTCGGTTATGGTGGTTAAAATGGTCCAATACCCACGGCAATAACTTTATACATTCTTTAATCTTTATTTCTAATTTACTACTACTATATTCTTTCTTTTGGGGGTACATGGGAAATAAATTTACTAGTACTATATTCATGTGCCATTTTAGTCATTCCAAATCATTATCAATACTTCTCTCACCCTTTATATTATAAAGAGAAAAGTTAGGAATCATAAAAAAAAATTCATGAAAATTATGATGAAAGATTTATGATTCTTAAATTACTTTAATTAGTGTGTGGTGCTTTATTCTAAGTGTAATCCAAGGATCACAAAGCTTTCATGATTATTTTCATAAAAGGTTTTTAATATACCTAACATTACTGTATTATAAATATAAAAAAATGTTATGATAACTATATTTTTGTACTAAATTTATTTATCACATGGTGCGTCAAATTTACTTTAGTTCATGCATAAAAATATACCCAAAATAATAATACGCTATTCAGATTCAATGGAATCCACATCTTGAATAAATCAAGATCACATATTAAATTTTTTGAATTTTTTTCTATGTATCATTGCATGGATGACATGTATTAATGTGTTAAACATATCATACTAAACAAATTCAATAAAAATAAAAAATAAAAATTGAACATCATAATATTACTCAAAATATATTTTTCGAGATGTGGTTTTTGGTTGGGTATTTTGTAAGTAAAATACTATTTAAAAAAGATAAAAAGGACTGAAAATCAGCTTTAACTACTATAAGAAACGATTATTAATAAAGAATAAAGGTGGGATGTTGAGACTAAATTCCATTCAAAGAAAGTAGTTAATTACTTTAGGACCATCAATAGTTAGTATAGAATCTAGCTTTTTGAACATTAAGCTCTATGCATGCCATGCTTTTTTTTTTCTTTTTTTCTTTTTCTTTTTTTTTTTTTTAACTTTTGGGTACGCAAACCTGCTTGAGCTTTTTTTGTCTAAAAATTCTTACTCCTTCATAATTTTTGAAAAGTATGTGCTTAAATCACTTGAGCCTTTTGCTTTATGACTACGCGTTCATATTGATCACCTGAGGCTTTCTAAAGTGTCATACGGTTCACACTTATTGTCCTGTTTTGTGTGCTTTATAAGGTTGTTGTAACTTTTTTTGCACTTTCTGTTTATAATCTATGCGACAAAAATAATTTACATATGTTAAGAAAAAAAAATTATTATTTGAAAATTAGGAGAGAGGTATTTTTAAGTTTTGCTTCCTGATTATTAACTTTTGGGTTGAAAAATATAGATCAGGCCCAATGAATTGGGTCACACATAATTGAATTTTTGGCTCCAATAACTTTTTCTTTTTCTTTTTCTTTTTTATTTTGATTTTTTTTTTTTCTAAGTTGTTGAAACTAATTAAAGTAGTGTAATTATGGGATCAAGGCAGCGTTTATCATTAGTCAAGGTTTGGGGCCCAAATAGGATTATAGTTCTTGGAGCCATTGGAATCTCTATGAAGTATTTGTCTTTTGGGTGCGTTGGGATCTTAATTTTGACTAGAAATTTGTGGGGAAAAAAAAAAGAAGGATAAGAAGAAAGGAAACGGGAAATATGAATAAAATATTGGTAAATAAAATAACTAAAAATGTGTACAGAGAATTAAGGACAAAGTTAGGATTTTATCTTAAAGAGGGCCAAATATTATACTACATAAAAATTTAAACATTATACTCCATGCACATCAAAAAAAAAAAAAAATTCAATATTATATATAGAAAGAAATAGAGTTTGATTGTATTATTTATTTATTTTTTTACTCTTTTATTTAGAATGGTGATGGGTTGTTGGGTCAAGTGTAATTAAAAGACTTTATGAGACTTTTGTTTTGTGGCTTATATTACTATTCTAATTGGGTAGTGAGGTCAATCAATGCCTGCAACTTGAGAAGTCCTTGCATATAATCACCCTATATATACTATCTATAAATGGAGTTTGAAAAACGGGGGGCCATGGCCACCCTAGGCCAAGCCATAGCTCCTTCCTTGTAGTGAACAATCCACGAAGGTGAGGCTAGATTGTACATTTAATATGAATATCCAAGTCAGAGTTGTATTTGTGCCGAGATAGAGATGTTGACATCCGAATGCAAATAATAGAGTGATGATAGAAAGCACTAGAGTTGAAATTCTAATGCCAACTCTAGTAATATAGTAATACATAATAAATAAATAAATAATGTAATATTACAAGTCAAAACATCAAATCATAAAATGGGGGCTCACCTCTAAAATTCTTCATTTAGAAGTCTCAAACATTTTTACAAATAATATTATGTAAAGCACCTTTATTTTAGAGGCGCCTTTTAATTGAAGTCCAAAAAGACGGATTTAGGGCGCGCGTCAAACCGTTCATCAAAAAACAGTACATGCATGCAGTACAAAGACACAGAATCAAATTGCTCATGCTTAATCATTACAACAACAACAAAAAAAAACTGCTGTAGATGCCTATGAAAAATTTTCCGGCTCGAATGAGTAGTAGTTTCATTTCAACAGCTTTTAGCCGCTGATCAAGGCAATCTTGAAATAAATTTGTACTAGTTTTCAATTCTATATTGTTTGACAATGCTCTTGCTTGTGAGCAGGAATATTTTGATTGTTTAATTGATGTTTGAAAACTGATGACAAATTTCTTTTTGTTTTTTGAAAAAATGATGACAAATTGCATGTTGTTTAGAAAATGATGACAAGGTTGACATTTTGTTCTTAAAAAAAAAGTCAATGATGGCATATTACTTACTGTTTGAAAAGGATGCATTTTGCTTAATGTTTGAGAATTGAATAAGATTTTGTGATCAGAGAATAATGACAAGACAAGCTGTTAGAAATTATAGTTTGAAAAAAATAAAATAAAACTAAATTGCGTCTAATTGGTTCAATTTGATTTTGTTTTATGATTTTGACGATTAAATTTAATTTCAGATTTGATGGGTTAACGTGAAATTTGCAGGAGTTGCCAATGCACCAACGAGGAGATGCAGTGAGTTCCATGGTATATGAGGCAAACGCAAGGGTACGTGATCCAGTGTACGGATGTGTAGGGGCAATATCATCGTTGCAGCAACAAATTGACCTTCTTCAGACCCAGTTGGCTCTTGCACAAGCTGAGGTGGTGCATATGCGAATGCGCCACTTCTCATAATGCAGAGAGCGAGAGAGAGAGAGAGAGCAAGATGAGTGGAGCAGTTCTGGTGGCTGTTGCTGCAGCAATGGGTAACTTACTACAAGGATGGGATAATGCTACTATTGCTGGTAATTTATTCTTTCATTTATTTTTACTCTTTTTTATTGTATTGTTATATTATGGATCACAACTAATAAATTTTGTGCTTTTGAATCCCCAGGCGTTTTATTTCTTTACAGTAGGAATTCAAAATTCGTTTTTATCTTCGATATTTTCAGAAACAAAAACAATAAAAAAACACCCATTCATCAACTTATCCAATATATTTATGTTGGATGTACACATGAATTATTGGAAGAAAAAACCTAGTGTGAACTAAGAATTTGGTTCTTGTGTTGTAGTAGTCTATTTAATCAATTTATTGACTTTCACTGCTATAATGTGTGTAATTTCTTATGTATGATTGGTTTTGTATATTATTTGAACAAGAGGAAAAGGACTAACAAGGCACCTCACAACAGAAAAAATGTATGCAATTAGTCCCACCAAAACAAACATTAATCATCCTAAACCTCTTGATTAATGTTTAAGGGTAAAGGGGTAGTTGTTCAAACCTAGTTTCAGGTTTTTAGTTTTATTTATTATTATTATTTTTTTTTTTTTTTGGTTTGGAATATGAAAGAGGGAGCATAAGTTAAGAGGGATTTATTCATAAATTCCTCTTCACCTACATATATTTCTCTTAATCTAATTTATTTTTTTATATTTCAATAAGTTTTATGGGGACATAGTAACCAAAATACCTCTAATAATAACATTCATACTGATAGTATGAATATTTTATGATATGAACATCACACTATAAAATATAAATGTTTACACCATCAAGTTTCTAAGGTTTCAAAAAATATTTGTAAGAGTAAAATTATACATAAAATATCTTAAATATGAGAATTAAAATTTTGTAAATCAAATGCCTAAATAATAAAAATTATTAAAATATAAAAATTTATTATGAACTAATTAAAATACAAACACTTAAAATAAAAATCCTAATAAATCCTCCATAAGTTAATAACTACTACTACTTTCATGATGTAACTGCTGCCATTATAATTTTTCAACTTTGGCCGAAAGGAGGACCATTTGTGATGTAGAAGCATGCTAACTTTGGAATGACTAAAGCAGAGTTATTAGAGAAATTATAATTGTCCTGTTTGGTGTACCTGTTAAAATAGATTATAAATTATAACTTAACAGATTATAGATTATGATTTTAATCAAAAGTTGTTAATCTGTTTGGTATAGCTGTTGGATTATAGATTTAAGTTACTGAGCAGTGTTTATTAAATAAGCTGTGAAGTAGCTTTTTCAATTAACTTTTATTTTTTATTATTCACTATTTGTCTGCATTTCTCATAAAAAATAATAATAATATTTTATAGTCCATTTGGGCCTTTTTCTATTTTTAAAAAAATAAAAAATAAAAAAAATCTAAGAGTATAACCGTGAATTAACATGTTTACAGCAGAAGCTGATAATCAGAAGCAAGTGGTGAGCAGCTTCTCAGAATCAGCTTTTTTGACTTAAAATAAGTTATTAAAATCAGAAGCTGTTTGAAATAAGTTTAACCAAACAGTCCAAAATAACTTTTTAAAAGTCAGAAGCTATAAGTTGACTCAAAAAAACTTCACCAAACACCCCTAATATACACCACTTTAAAAAAAGATGTATCATATGTATTTTTAATTATATTATTATTTTTTAATTATAATATTATTTTGATTATAATTTATGAATTCTTTAATTATGTTTCATATTGTGCTTAATTATATATATATATATATATATATATTTTTGTTATGACTCAAAAATTAAAATTATACTATTTTTTTTAGTTATAAGGTGTATATAATGCACACCCTTCAAAGGATGTGTACCATAGTGTTTCCTACAACTCAAAGATGCTAGTGTGAAGTCTTAAGAGAGAGAAAGAGTAGTTGAACCAACCGTTTCAAACTTTCATATTATAATATAAAAAATATATATCAATTTGTCTCGATTTGTAAATTCCTATTTTTAAATTATTTTTAATTGAAATTATTTATTTATTCTTATTAAGTAAAATTGACATGAAAAATATATTTTACCCATTAAAATCAATGTAGATGTAAATAAAATATCTTTTTTATTGAGTCTAATAACAAAAATATCAATTTTTTTCATTGATTTTATATAATGAAAATATCATATTGAAAATGAAAATAAATCAAAAAATTAAGTTTTAAATTGACAAATTAAAAATTCAGAATTTATTTCGTTACAATAGTCAAAATTTAAGGGTTTTTTCTTTCATAATTTTCCAAAATATATATATATTTTTCACAAGTAGCTACTTAAAAATCCGAGATCCAAACAAACAGGGAATCCGCATTGCCGACACGGCCCTAAAACAGAACACTCCTAGTTGGGCCGTAAAAGCCCATGAGTATGTCCATAATCAGGCACCAAATGGGTACCACTAGATTAGTTTGTAGCGGCCCAGATCCAATCCATCAACCATGAATCTACATGACCTCAGAAAAGGCTTTAACACAAGCTCTGTACAAGAACAACTAAGGGTCCACAAAAAATAAATAAATAAAAGGCAAGAAAGAAAGGATTTTTTTGCACACTCCAAGGTTGTGTTTGGGTAATTCAAAATTATTTTGATTATTACATTATTCTTGCTACTTCATGATGCACATTGAGGTATATAGTTTTACGCATAAAATAATTTCTTATTAAGGCCTCATTTGGCAAGAGGCTATTTTAGCCAATTAGCCAAAAAGCCAACAACTCATATCAAAAAGTCAAAGATTCTATTTTCTCTCTACTTTTTGCACATCTTTTCGTAATTAGCCAAAAAGTCATTCAAACATACAAGTTTTTTTTACCTACCTTTTTAACCAAATAGCCAAAAAGTTACTAAATTAGCATGTTCCCAAACGATTGTGTTTAATTAATTTATCTTATCCGATTAAAGATAATCATTTTCATTGAGTTATCCCAATAAGATGAAAAAATATTTTGAAAAATACATTATAAAATAAAATATATGTTGAAAATTTAAATTTAATATAGTGTGAATTGCACTTGCAATAAATGCAATTTTTATATTTATTTACTTAATGTTTTAATATATATATATATATATATATTTAATGCGTAGTATTGTTTGCAAGTTGCAACTAAAGAAAGCTATAGTGCAACCCATTTACGACCCACATGGTGTGAACATGGTCTGTTTACTTGGAGAAAGGGCAAATGAAACAGAATCATAACAATCTTAGAAGAAAACAACACTAGTTATGACATTCATAGTCTAACCTAGGTTTTGTGTTTTTTTCCTTATTTTTCAATATATATATATATATATAGAATAGTGTGTTATAGCACCCCCGCTAAATTAAAATTTGGGCAAAATTTCTTCAAAATATCTCAAATGGTCATCCTTTTAGTATTAGCACAAGATTTGTCAATTGTCAAAATTTGGCAAACCTCTATTTTTTTCCTCAAGATGAGACTTTCAAATAACATTATTCATTTAGCATTTTGTGAAGAAAAAAAAGGAAAAAAGAAGAAATTATATTTGTGCCATTCGATTATGAAATTATAATATTTGAACATTATAATATATTAAAATTTGATTTTGACATGAATTACCGGAGATACTTTATTTTGCTTTTCTAGTGATCCATTGATTTTGTTGTGCTATAAAAGCCTATAACTGTAACACCAATATCATTATCAACAACTTGGGAAAAAATCTAGTATGCATTCTGAAAAGTGACGGTAAGAAATGTTACACCACTCTGTGGTATTAATTATGCTATTTTTTGTGATAAAAGTTATGAACGAATAACACTTCTAAAGTGAAAGTTACGAAATGTTGTGATTATATTATGTATGTTATAAAAAAGTATATAAGATATACCCATTTTAAGAGTACACAAAGTAACATCTCGATATCACAGAATTAAAGGCCTAATCACAGAGGGGCGACTTTTAGGACTAGATCCTAAGGTGCTGAGGTGTCAAAAATCATCTTTAAATGATATTACATAGCAGAATCATTTAATCATGTAGCGATAAATCGCCAACTCCCACACAGGCAAAAATTCCAACTCACACAAATGTCACAGAATCCATTTGACTACAAAAGCAATAAGTGCAATGCAAGAATGTAGCCTCACCGAAAGTGGCAATCTGATTTTGCTGCAGAGAATGGGGAAATTTATCATCATTTGGGTCCAATCCAGCTCCTTTTAAGTTATGAAGGATGGGGGGGGTCAACCAATGCAATGTTCTTAGGTGATCCCCTAGGGCCCCAAGCTCACACTTGTGGCAATGGTTGCACCTCCCACATTATGTGGGTTGCACTATATATTACCCACTCATTTGCCCACAAATCTTTCAGTATTGATCCAATTTTGAACATAAGAGACAACAGTTGAGATATCATATCAATTGGGTTTTCTTCCAGTTACTCAAGGGTTCAGATCTCAAAAGGTGGATTAATTACTAAAATTTCGTACTTTACTCTTTTTAAGATCATTTTCAGGGTTTAGTCCCGTTAATTATTTTTTATATATGACAAATAGAATTATATATATGAAAAAAAATAATGCTCAATTAGTCCCATTAATGTGTGTTTGAAAGACCATTGGTTCAATGGTAAAACATTAGCCTAATAACCTTGAGATTATGGGTTCAAATTACGAAGCAGCCATTTTGTGCATTATACCAAAGGTTAAATGTATAACTAATCTTTTTCCTCCCAAACACAAAATTATATATATTGTGAGGGAAAAAAATAGTGAATTATCATAAGTAATAGAGTTGCTGCTTGATCCCATTGAAAGGTTAACTCTTCCCTTCAATGAAGAGCTTTATGTTTGGTTTGTCTTTTTGAAATGATTTTCTCTTGACAAAAATAAATATAAAAAATATATTTTTAAATTTTAAAAATTATTTCAGTCCTTAAACAAGATAAAACAATATAAAAATAATAAGTGTTTTTTTATATTTTTTTCACAAAACTAAATTTTAGATTTAAAAAAAAAAAATCTTAAAACAAGTTTCTAAAAATCAAACCAAACATAAATGTAGAGGAAAGGAAATTAGAAATTGATTGAACAGGAGAGAGATTGAAGTAGAAGTAGAAGTAGAAGCCGCAAAGCTGATGGATGGAGACAGTTTAATGGAAAATGAGAGGATCGATGATTGTGTTGCAGTGAGTGCATATCTTCACTTTATGTTAGTGATTTCTTACGACTCAAAGAATGCGTGCTTGGGACACCCCATTTGCTTTGCTTTGCTTTATTATCTCCTCATATTGAAATTCTTTCCAATACCAAAAATGTCAAGAAAAAAAATAGCAATAATGAAGGAACTAATCAAGATTCAAGACTTTCTTTCCCACCACTTCAGCTTCAGCTTCAGCTTCAGCATGTTCATGTTGACTCACATAGAACAGCTCGATGGCAAATCTAAAACCACCAAAATATTGACTTAAAAGCTCATCATCAATAAAGTTAGGCACCGTGCTTTGGCCATTTCTCTTGTTCACCTCATTCATTATATTTTGTTTTAAGAGAAAACCAAATAATATATTCCGTTGAAGATACGTTTAAAAGTTATTTACTATTAAGATGCGTTGAATTTGCACATCAACCTTTAAAAAAATAATTTAAATTACGTCAATCAAATTCATTTTAATCTTAGAAATCATAGAAGTCAGATAAGAAATGTGACAAGAATAATCAGTATGAGAAGCTTCAAATCTGATATAATCTCAAATGTATTGAATGAGTAGAATTGACCAACAAATGGCTGGTTAGGCTAGGCATGGTATTTGTTGTCAAATCAATCAGGGTACATATTCTCCAATGTTTGCCTCAGTTCCATTGGTGGTCTATGTTTGACTAGATTGGGATTTGGTAACAAATCATATCTAAGATTAATTTGGGAATGTTTTCTCACAAAGCCAAGCTATGTGTGTATGTTCAGCATGTGTGATACCATACTATCCACTGAGTATGCTTCTTACATATTTGATGTTTTGAGTTAGGTCTACAGACAATTCTCATAAATCACTATGGGGCAAAGCACACCAATTTGGTGATGGGGTAGGGGTGGTTTGGTTATAGTTAGTGGTGATTAATTTGGCCATGATGGTTGTGGTGCTGCAGGGGTGGGTGATGGTTTGGTGATAATGGGGCGGCCGGTTTTGTGGTTTGATGGAGATGATCCTGAGGAGGAGATCGTTGATTATTTATTTATTTATTTTAATTTAACGTTAACATCTTATCTTAAAAAAAGAAGAAGAAAAAACTAAATTGACATTAGCGAAAAAGTTTGATGACCTACCATCATTAACCGTTGATGTAGGCGGCGGTAGTAATTATAAACATTGAGCATTTGAAGCGCGAATAGAGTGAAGAAAAAAAATGGAACCAGTTGCCACATGTTCAATCAATTTGACAAAAGGGTATTGTAATAGAGTAATGATACGAGTGTGTATAGTATGTAAAAAAATAAAATAAAATACCCCTATAATTAAATATCACATAAATAATAATTAAAAAATTCTTAAATTATAATTAAAATACTATCATAATTAACCTCTCGTAAAATTCATCAAAAAAAAGAAAAAAGAAAAATAGCCATAACTAACACTACAATGTGTATAAGAGCATTCGCATCAATCTCAGCAAATTTTGAGTCAAATTATAAACCAAAATTTACTTTTGTATTTTACCTTATCTCCTTTTTATGTACACACTCTATCAAACTCTCTATTTAAAAATTTTATTTCATTAAAATATTATTTTTTATTCTTTTATCTTTTTCAATTTAAATATATGATGGATTAATCTCAAAAGAGCAGCAAACAACAAGCAAAGAGTAGCAACACAATCACACAGGGGGGTTGATCGGGCGGTCCACCGGTCGACGACTGGACGGTTGACCGGTCAGGCCAATTTTAGGCATTTCCCTTCTTTATTATAGAGCGCTCACAAGACATCTGGGTGGACTACTGGCCATGGCTTTTTGGCCCAACTTTGCTCTATAAAATATAATAAAAAATAGATTACTGTATGAACAGTGCCTCAACTGATTATTGAGGCACTGTAACAAAGTCAAAATAAATGAAGTGAGTAGAGAGTCTGATGGAGCTGATATTCACAACTTTTTGCTCTCTACAATAGCTTCAAAGCCATTATAGAGAGACCGATGCGGATACTTTAATCAAGTCATAATTAACACTCTAATAGGTCATAATTAAAAACCATAAAGATTGTAAATAAGAGACATATGATACACACCCCATAGAATTTTGGAGTACTTAATCAGTCCTATTAACTAAACTTATTACTATTTGTATATTATATTTAGTTTATTATATGATTTGACATTATTACATTACTTAACCATACTAATTTTTCTTTTTCAAAATTATACATGTTATTTAAAAAATCCAAAACAAAAACAAAAACGTGATTGGATTATGTAGCTGTCCATATCCGATTAAGTTAATTTTTTTATATAAATAATGTGCGTAATGTATTTTACAAATTAAATAGTTTAAATCACCGGGACAAAAGATCCACAACCACAAAAATTAGACCCTCCAATAAAAAACATGAATTACAGACAAGTTCTCTTCTTAATGGATATATGTATTCGATAGGCACAAAAAAAAAATATAAAATATAAAATAAAATAAAATAAGTTTCTGGGAACAGTAGTCGATAGTATGTTGTCCGAAACCAAATAAGAAGATCTTCATTAATAATACATGAGGTTGTACATAATATTGAAACTTCTACAGTCTTCCATAGGTGAATGAGACCATTGTAATTAATTATACATAGTAACAATCACCCAGAAATATATGGTAAATACATGAGACTCGCCATAGCCTCTTGTAGCCAATCCTCCTCGTCATGTTTGATCTGCCAAACCACAACATTTAAAAAAAAAAAATTAAATTAACAAATAAGATAAAAACATAAAACTAAATAGTAGTGCAGTCGATGCATTATATTGTTTCAACAAGGCTGTAAAAAAATGGTATTGAGAATTTTGGGCAGCTGTCTTTAAAATTACCTTAATAGTTTCATCGTGGTAAAATTCAGTGTCTTGGTGAGAAGTGTTGTTGTTGTTAGTTACTGGTAATTCTGATTCGCATAGCAGCTCATTGTTTTTGGCGAATCTTCCGCGAACTCGAACCCTCTTGTCAGCTAAGGTCTTGCGACATGCATACTGTACAAAGTACAATCTATTTCTTTAGTGCAAAACTTATGTCACATTTAATCGAGGCCAAATTATACACGTAGTTCCTCTGTGTAATCGTAATTTTACTATTTAATTTCTACACTGAGTTAGTCAAACTAATATCACTAAGAAATTGGACATGAAATCAATAACATAGGTCATTTAACAGATAAATTATTTTAAATTAAATACCAACTTGTTTTGAGAATAGTGAATAGGCTATTTTACATGTTACTTTTAGTCTAATTTCTAAAGCTCCCGTGCATGGACACACTATTTCTATGGTTTGAATTGAGCTTACAAAAAAAAATAGAAGAAAAGTGATTTGGGCATGTTAGAGAGCGAGACCTTGATAGTTTTGTTGAAGTTCCTTTGATTTCTCTTCTTGAGATATCTGAGAATTCTGTCCTTCCTTTCTTCTACCGAGTACCTTCCAACCGGCATACTGGGTTCTTCCATAGCTGGAGCTTGATTAACTTGAAAACCCTATAAATTGGAATTTCTTCTTATAAATATATCCACTACTAAATCATGCTCATGAAAATACATGATATTGCATATCAAAGGCTTTCGACTTTCAACAAATATATCAATCGATATATCAGTTGATACTGTCTAATATCAACAGGTATATGCTAATATATATCTCGATAAGGTTACTTAAAATGAGGATTCAAGATTAAAGATTCAAAAGGGTACCCAATTATCATTGGAATTAGAGGGATAAACTGTCCGAAAATCATGCACAAACCCATTGCATTTCTCACCCAACTCGCAAACATCTTGGTGGTTGAAACCAGCTAAATCAAGAGCACTCTGAGTTCCGGCAATGTCACGTAAACCCATATTGAACTCCGGCGACACAGGCACCGCCATGTCCGACACCCCAAATCGCTCCGGAAACGGTGTCCTAGTCGAAAACGACGATGACGTGACGTCCTGTTCCGGTGGCACCACGTCATCAAGTACTACTGATGCTCCATTGTCGAAGAATAAGGGTAAGTTTTGGTCAGCCCACATTGCGGCGGCGCCGCCAATGTTGCCGGCGGCGAAAGGAGGTGGGAAGAATTCGCAGAGTTCGTTACAGAAAGTGTAATCAGAGTGGTATTGAGGAATGGAAGCCATTGGAGACATTGCAAGGTGATCTTCTAGTGGTTGTGGGTCAGTTTTAGTGTATTCCTTGAAATTTATAGCATTTGTAAGTACAACACAATTCTCCACTGCCTTTGGGAAAAGTGGTAGAATCCTCCAGAAATATATATCTATATATGTTGAGTGTACAAGTATCATCGGTAAATTAAGTTAAATTAATTCAATATTATTGTGATTTTTATTGTAAATTAAAATTACTCATTAAATAATTATATTATCATGTATTATTACTATTATATTTAATATTTACTTAATATAATTAATTTTTAATGATGTATAATTAGTGATAGACGTCGTATCGTGTTGGATCGTATTCGTGTCATATCATTTCGGATTCGTGTTAAAATATTTTGAAACTAAACTAATTAGTTTATTATTTCGTATTATCGTGTCGTATCATTTTCAGTCCGTGTTCAATTCGTGTCGTATTAACTTGTCATGTCAAAAAATTTTACTATTAATAAAAAATATCAAATGTATGAAAAAATTAAAATTTTCTTCACAAATTACATGTAATGAAACTAATCTCTATTAAATGAAATTATTTATTAAAATATTTGATTTTAGCTTTATTTTATTTTCTTAATTTATAAAAATTATATTTTATTATTATATTTTTTAACTAGATTAACTCAAAAAATAGACAAAAAATACATTAAAGTCTCGCTTGGAAACAAATTATTTTAGTAATTTTTTAATTTTTTGGTTAAAATATCAGGTAAACAAATTAATATGTTTTGAATGACTTTTTGATTTTTTTACGAAAATATATGCAAAAAATAGAGAGAAAATAAACACCAATGGGCCATCCTAATTGATAAGAGAGTTTACTCCTCTCCTTATTGACCATAATTTGAATCCTCTAATACTCAAGTGAAAGTTTGACGGCTTAGGTAAATCCACTAGCTTCTCCCCCATTGACTTGTAAGGGTGGATCTTTTGAAATGATGAATCCTAAGGATCTTGCTTTGGAAGTATTCTGGGTATAAAAAAAACTTTGACTTTTTTGTATAGTTTGTTGAATTTTTTCCTTTTTTAATGACTTTTTAACTTTTAAGCTAAAATATGATGTTTCCAAACGAGACTTAAGTTCAATTAAAAGCAAAAACAAAACTTATATTAAACTTGAAATCGTATTTTACATACTTTTTAATAAATTGAATGCAATTATGTAAGAGATTAAAAATATCACGATACTCTTTAATAGAAATGATATTAAAATGTGCAACTAATCCTTTATTGTACAGGTTAACCATGTCAATTTTGTGTTATACAAATTTGACACTAACTCGACCTATTTAATATTCGTATTATCAAATTGTGTCATATACATGTTTATACCAAGAAATGATCAACCCTAACCCGCTAATTTTATATACAATTTAAGTCGTGTTATCATATTATGTCACAAACTCTCACCCCTACGTATAATGGCTTTATGCAATAAAATATCAATCCCGTTACATTTCTTAATTGAGACTCCCAATTCCACTCCAATAACAAGGCTAAGATCCTTACATTTCTCCCTCTCATTTTTTGCCTTCCTAATTTCACATTATTAATGTGAAATTGAAAGATTAAATTAAAAGAATCAATCATTTTTCATAAAATATAGAACTCCATCCCAATCATATATTATAGAGGATGTTAATCGGAAGCGGTATATATATTATATATAATCAGCTAGTATTAGAGTAGAACAATTCATATAATTAGAAGGGACAATTGGTTATCGGTGAAATAATTTGTTTAAAAAAAAGGTTCAACGACTTCAAATTCTTTTAAGTGCAAGTTTGTTTTTTATTTTTTTATTTTTATTTTTTTTTTGCTTTGGAAGTTTAACACAAACAATATAAAAATGACGTACACTAAATATTATGAATTCATTCTTATCAATTTATAATTTATTCCTAATATGTTTATGTGATAAAAATTAAATTAATAAAATGTAAGATGTATAAATAAAATGAATTTGAACCATTAATTTCTTTTCATGAATAAATTTTTTAAGTTTATAAGTCTAGATTTGTAACGTTGCTGAAATATAAAACAGACTCGCAAAATGATATTATTTGTTTTCAGTGTGCAATTAATTTGAGAATTCCTCTAATTACAATTAAGAGTGATTTATCTGATTAGAGTAGGGGTGCAAAACGACAGAGATCTACAAACCAAATCTAATTAACAAGAACACCGAATAACTTCTCGTAACTTAGGATGAAAAGACAGGAATACCCTTAAATCCATGATAAAAGGTGAGCAGAGGCCTCATGTGATTTACTATTCTTTTATACTGTTTAAGATGTACCCTAAAAAGACCTAACCCTATTTAATAGACCAGGAATCTAACACATGGGATAGCTACGATATGTTTCCACAAAACAAGTACAGCCATATATCCCTCAAATTCAATTCCTTTGCAACTATCTATTTAGGTTCTTTACAAGTTAAAAAGCTTAATATTTTATTCAAAAACTTTGTTTGTTTAGTAATCTTAATTTTTTTCCCCCCCTCTTTTCTAAAAGATTTTTTAAGTGGTTAAAAGTGAATTTTGAACAAGAAATAAATTTGTCAAATAAACCAAGACATTTTTATTAAAATGAATTTTTTTTTTAGTCGAAACTAACTTTTAAACTACCAACAAACGTAAATTTACTTTGTTGTCTATCCGTATTCCTCCAAGCTAGAACATAAAAATGTTTCTTTGGTACATTATACGCTGTAATTCAGATGAACCCGATAGTGATACATGTATATATAACCTGTTTTGCATGAATTGTAATATTAAACATTTTGTAATTGTCATAGGATATGATCACATTTTATAATTGTCTCTGTTATTTCTAAGCCAATGTTAAGAAATAACAAATAAATAGTTACTATGTAAAAGTCATACTTGTAGGGTGAACTAATATCATTTAAGTGTGAAATAAAAATAATATCAGTTCAGTAAAAATATGATCTTATTTTTTCTACTTCCATCTTCAAGAAATGCTTTTTTCAAAGCATAAAATGTTCAGGGGTGAAGGGGGAGCAAACTTTCTTCCTGAATTTGAAAAGGTATCTGGTTCAAAAAGCATATCAAAGAAAGTACCTGCTTTCCCCCTTATCAATTATAAATTACAGATTGAGAATGTAATATGCGACCCCATTTCCGAATAGATTATAACAATTAACTATTTAACTCTTTGATTATTTTAAACTAATTAAAAAAATTGTGTTTATGATGATAATTAATTTTTTTTAATTGTTGATTTGATAATTATGAAGAAAAAATAAATAAATGGATAAATTATGTAAATGATCCCTATAGTTTACCTGTTTTTTCATTTTTGTCCCATTGTCCAGTTTAACAAATTTTATCCCTTAATTTTACAAATTGTATTATATTAGTCCAATAAATAACGGCGATTAAGTTTGATAGACGAAAAATCTAATGATGTTTCAATTTGATCCATGTAGTTTAAAGAATATGTCAATTTAATCCCTATAGTTCATAGGAAAGTCAAAACAAGAATTAAATTAACACATTCTATAAACTATAAGGATTGAATTGAAACATCATTTAATTTTCTATCCATCAAACCTAACCATTGTTATTTATTAAATTAATATGACACAATCTGTAAAATTAAACAAATTGAAATAATAAGGATCAAAATTTTAAAAAAAAAAGGGTGAATTACAAGAACTACCGCTGTAATTTGCCCAAAATAAAATAATTATAGATTAAATATGACTTTATCTTATTAATTATTTTAACTTATTTTATCTTTATTGATTATTTTAACCAAATAACCTCTAAGCCAAACAAGGCCATAATTGATAGTGAAGGGACCTTTTTTTTTTTTTGCAAGGGATTCTCCTGTGACTGAGACTTTCACTGTATTTAGTTTCGTTTTCAAGTTTTGTTTTCTCAAAAATCATCAAAAACTAATTAGGTGGGAAAAAAAATTTAAAAAGTTCAAAAACACTCACCACTCGATAATATATTCTCTTTTGCGGAAAAATAATTTTTTTAAATTCACAAACATCCTTTGGATGTTATTTTTATCAAATTAATTTTTAGTATTTTTTTTCTATAAAATAAATTTCTAAAAACAAAACCAAATTGAGTGTTTATCTTTGCCTGGTTATTTGACTCAAAAAAAAAAAAATGGAAAATAATATAAAATAGATTGAAAATTTTTGTACACACGCCTGAGCATCAGGTGCCTCTGGTTTACCTCCACCTATATCCATTCAACCAACTTAAATTAAAGGAAGCTTTAGCCGTGCTTATTTGATATTTTAAATTACCAGTGAATAATTTATAAATAAAATCGAAGGAGACTTATTTATAAGTCTTATTTGAGACATTTATGCTATATTAAGTCCTGTGTAATTTTTTATAGAATTTCAAGTCCTATTTAAATAGAAATGTGTTTCACAAGATCTTATGAATTGTAAATAAATGATATTAATATACTATTATACACTATAATGACAAAACCATATATAGGAAATTGAATGTTACCATAGATCACATTCAATTTAAAAAATCAAAAACTTAGTAAGTTTGCGAAACGTAACGTGACACGTTACGTTACATTTATGTAAGTATCACGTTACGTTACGTTTATATAGGTGTCACATTACATTATGTTTATATAGGTGTCACGTTACGTTATGTTTATGTAAGTGTCACGTCACATTACGTTTATATAAATGTCATGTTACGTTTATATAGATGTCATGTCACGTTACGTTTATGCACGTGTCACGTCACGTTACGTTTATGTAAGTGTCACGTTACATTACGTTTATGTACATGTCACGTTACGTTTTACAAATGTGTATTTTGAAATTCAAATTCATATTCATAAAGATATGATATATGGTAATATTCAATTTCCTATATATGGTTTTATCATTATTTATGATATTAATAACTAATATTAAGGATAAATGTGTCAACAAACTTCACACAGAACTTATGGGAACATAAATTTTTGGGTAGGACCATATGTAGCATAAATCTCCCTAATAAAACTTATAAATAATTTTCCCTAAAATCTATTACACCTATAATATAAAAAAAAAAATATCAACTTATTTAAATTATTTTTACTTCATAATTTGATACAACTTTTAACAAGCTGAAAATTAATAATTAAAACATTGAAGCTAAGAACATCTCCTACTTCCTAATAATTAATTATTTTAATTTTTTATAATTATTTTTACTTCATAAGTTGAAAACAAAAATTATAATAAACAATTTGGCATAGATTTCTTTTTAAAAAAAATTATTATTAGCAACTCCATAAGTTATACCAAACAATTACAAAGTGAAAACAAAAATTATATCCGCCATTTAAAGTAGAAAATAGCCTAGAGTTGTCCAAAATGGTCAAACACAAAACATGCTTAACCTATAAGTTTATACTATTCTTATTACTATCAAAGTGGGTGTTTAGAAAGTTGTTATTTTAGGCTTCGTTTGGGAAGCCATGGATTAGGTTTTTTTGGCTATTTTAGTCACAAAAAACAAAATAGGCTATTTTAGCCATAACAAACAAAACATCACATCCAACCCATAATCATTACATTCTTCTCTCACAAAAAAACTCAAAAAAGCCAAAAGTCAAAAAGCCCTTCCCAAACCAAACTTTTAAGCCCAGGCTAAAATAGCCAAAAAAGCCAAAAAGCCAACCCACTTTCCAAACGGAGGCTTAATAAGTTTTTTTAGTTTTTAATTATTTTAGGAGGTTAAAATTTGTATTTGGGAAGATAATTGAGTTTTTTTGTAATTGAATGTAATATTTGTAAAAAAATAAAATAAAATAGTGATAAATTTGATGTGACATTTTTTCTAGATTTTTTTTATTTTTTAATCAATTTTGTCTTTTAATGTTTTTTTAGCCAAAAAAACAACAAAAAAAAACACGTCCCAAACACCACCAAAGAATCCGTTCTATCACCTTGCAAAAACAACCAAACATGTGGCCATAGATGTTGGGTGACTTGCTTGTTATAGAACTTCAGAATTTTATCAATTTTGCATTGTCAAATCCAAATCATCAATTAGAAGTGCTAATTAGATCAATAAAACATTCAATTCAACAACAAATTTGCTACAAAACCAGTTATCTAATGGCATAAGACAAAGCTCAAAACATGGGGATGATAAATGGAGTCTACACCCACAATAACTAAGGCAAAAACTGCAAAGTCGTGTAGACAGGGCAGGTTCAGAGGTTCAAAAGCTCTTGATAATATGAAGGGGGGGAAAAATGTGAGATTATAATTACTAATCAATAGGGATGGCAATGGATAATCTATCATGTGGGTATCCATAGAGACCCAACGCAAATATATGGGTTTTTTCCTTTTTTTTTCATCCATTAGATAAGGTAAGTGATATTCTTTAAATATCCACAGGAGATGGATTGGGGATGGGTACCTACTAATTTCCCCATATGTTTTGTATTTTTTTTTGGTTTTTGTTTTTTTTTTTTTTAAAGATTTACAACCAAAACTAAATATACATTCAATTTTTTTCTTTTATTTATTTATTTATTTTTTCAAGTTCACAACCAACTTTTTTTTTTTTTTTTTTTTTTTTTAAAGATCCACAACCAAAGCTAAATATACATCCAATATTTTTTTTTATTATTTTTAAGGTTCACAACCATTTTTTTTTTAATTTTTAAGATTCACAAAATAAGCTAAACATAAATTCAATCTTTTTTCTTTTGTTTTTTTTTTTAATTTTTTTTTTTTTTAAGATTCACAACCAAAGTTAAATATACATTCAATCTTATTTTATTTTATTTGGCTCAACAATAAAATCAAATACACATTAATTAACATTATCACATTATTCTTGTCAAATTTTATGCATATCTAGAATTTTTTAAATTTATTTAAAAAAATTAAGAACACTGTCTAGTGCAAGTTTCGATTTGCTTTTCTATGTTATTTTATTTTGTTATGTATTATAATTTTCAGAATGGTTTGCTTATTCTGAAATTTCAATTAACGGGTATGAATCTATTTGTTTTATGTTATCACACAATTTATACAACATATATATATATATATATATATATATATGAATGTATTTGAAAATAAAGAAATTGTAGAGAATCAAAACAAGTATGAGTCGTGATTGGTTAAAAAGCATGGGTACAAAAATTTATTCGCTAGAAAAACAAAAAGGGAATACAAAGTCTTACTACATAATTTTTTTTAAAATAAAAGAATTTTTCTTAGTTATGAATAGATTTAACTAAAATCAACTTGTTTCCCAATGTTATGCTTCATTTATTTAGATAGAAAATAATTTTTAATGAAAAATATTTTTTATAAAAAAAATTAAACATATATTTTTTTATATTTGGTGGTGGTGATGATGGAACAAAAGTGAAAGTAGAGATTGTAGCATAGTAATGGGGTGATGGCGACAGTGATGATAGTAGTGGCTATGGTGATGGTAGTGTGATAGTGAAGGTGAGAATAATGGTGATGGAGTTGTAAAATTAATAAAAATTTAATTGAAAAAATATTTTTTGTTTTTTAAAAGTAACAAACAACAAAATTCGTGAAGGACTAAAGGAAGAAAATAAATGATGAATTGAGTGTGATAAGGCATAAATATCTTAAAATGAGTGGTTCAAATTTGTTAAAAGATATAATTAGATTTTGGATAAATTAAAATAAATAGTTCAAATTTGGTAAGAGAAAAATAGTTTAATGTCTAAAATGTCCGTGGTTGAAAGATTAACAAACAATTCATTGTTTATACCCTGATGCAATTAAATATAGGTCTTATAACACTTTCTTCAAACAGATTCTTTCACATTTTATTTTTTCAAACAGGCTCTTATAACATTATAAACAGGTTCTTATAACATGTAGGAGAGAGTGAGAGTGAGTGAGAGAGAGAGAGATGGTTGTAATTTTTTTTTTTTTAATCTTCCACATTCTTCCACATTTTTTTTTTCAATTACTAAAACTTATTTAATTGTCTCAAAATTATATATTTGATTATTACAAAACACACTTTTTAATTAATTAATTAATGTGTATTTGATTTTGTTGTTGAACCAAATAAAATAAAATAAAATCGAATGTATATTTAACTTTTGTTGTAAACCTTAAAAAAAATAAATAAATAAATAAATAAGTTGTTAACATTAAATATATTAAAAAAGAAAGAAAAAAATATTTAGCAAAAATTTTAAAAAAAAAAAAAAAAAAAAAAAAAAAGAAAGAAAGAAAAAGAAGAAGAAAAAATCCAAACTCATTAAGAAATGGGAAGGGTAGTACTCATGGAAAATGGGAAAAATTTATTATAGGAGAATGGAGATGAGAAATTAATATCCACCCCATTAACCCCTATTGTCTCCCTACTAATCAACTGACAAGCATACCCTCTTTTTTTCATCTTTTTTTCTCCACTCTCACCCAATTGGTTTCATGTTCCAACAAGGTCATGTTGGTGCATGTTGCCTGGAAGTGAATCTTAAGCTGATTTCTGGGTATAAGATCACTACAGATATTATCTCAACTTTTGCTTTTCCCATCATATTCTTGTTCTATACAGTACACTTCCTTTGTTTCTCATAACAAGCTAGGAGGATCTTAGTTCAGAGATTTGTCTACCCTTTCATCTACATGTTCAATTCTCTAACACGCTATCAGGTCGGCATGCCCAATATCCCTTTGTCAAAATAAGATCAAGTTGCTTTTTTCTCCTTCACATGACAAATGATATGGTCAGTACTTCCCAACCAAAATAAGATTTTCACTAGTAAATCATGTGTAATTATCATGATAATAAAAGTTTGTTATTTTTGTTAGGCAAGAAATAACTTTGGGGAGAGAGAGGGCATATGTAGTGTGTTTTTTTAAGTAAATTAGCATTCATGAAAGCAGGTTTACAAATTTTTTAATGAATCAAAAAATTTCACATAAACATTAATCTTCAGATAATGAATCAAAATTTTGCTTTGCTTCCTCTCTAAATTCTTATCAAGGTAATTATTCGCTTCCTCATCAACTATACTCATTAACCCTGTCAATATCCCACTAAATTTGTCCTTTTCAAATTGCGAAGCATATATGTCTTTTCACACTTGCAGTCAAAAATTTGGGGTTTAGATGCCATATCTTGGTTTTGAATTTGGGTCCACTTAAGGCAAAAACTTACTAAACAATCAAAGCTACACAACTGTTACAACAGAGAGCCGTAAATTTGCAGGCATGACATAGCTGAACATCTGCCAGGTTGGCCCAAAGTATTTGCGCAACTTAACTCGGTTCAATGTGAAGCTCATACTATGCACTGTAATAGCTTTTGTTTTGGATCCAGCATGAGATAACTCCCAGCCTTCCTCTACTAACTAGACTTGCTGAACCTTGCCTCTTAAAAAATTCCATTTCCACCAAAGTCCTCACCTGAAGCCCTAATAAAGTTGCTAAGAGACCACAAATGCACACAAGGGGGGCGAGAGAGAGAGAGAGAGAGATGCATTGAAGAAAACTCTGATACTGCATTCAATAACATGAATCTCTTGCTAGCGTCAATTGGTACATTTTTTATAAGATGCAACAGGCATGCAAAAGGATGCAGTTATTTACAGAGCATACCTGCAAGGAAGGAGGAAAATCAAGCCTGCAAATTCTATACTCTAGTTCCCCGAAAAATAATCAGCTCATATGCAGGTTGATCACATTTCAAAAATTCTTCATAGAGAATGATTTAGGACCATCCACAAAATGCAGCTCAATAAGAGGTAAACCTCAAAGCAGCTGCAGTGTCCCCTGCAGATCAAACCAATTCTCAGCATTATCTTCAAAAGTTTACAAGTAATTTTATATATTTCTTAGATTAAATAAATAAAGAGGAAAAAAAAAAAAAAGTTAATACAAACATTAAAGGGTAATGACTAGGGACAAACAAGCCTAAAATCACAAACCATTTCAGTGAAACATTTAGCGCATGTTGCGGTTAAGCAATCCTTGAAATGATAAGTAAAGATCTTTATTATCCATCCCAAATATCTCTTCAGCTTTCCTCAAAGTTTCCTGAAAGGGAAAAAAAATTTGTTCATTTAACAAACAATTAGAGCACAAGTAGGGGTGCAACTTGGGCAGACTCAACCCGAGCAATCCGAACCCAACCTGAATTTTTTTAGGGACTTAAACAAGATATTTTCAAATTCGGTACGGGTTTAGGCAAAAATTCAAAAACCCAAATTAAATTTGGACGGACTTGGACAAAAACATCAAACAACCCGAACAACCCAAAGCCTGAATTATACATATATAGATATATAAAAATATTAAATATATATATAAATTATTATCCATTACATGATATTAAAATAATTTAGATTATTAAATCATATTGAATATATATTATATATACAAATAACATAAAATCTTATCTTTTTTTTTATTAGTTTCACTCATAAATTGTAAAAACTACTATAGCGGCATCTCTCTTACATTATATAAATTATTTGTTTTGATGATATTAATGATTTTCTATATATAAAAAAAATATAAATAGAGTCAAATTTTAATAATTTAATAATGTAGCTATAAAAAAAAAAAAATACAATTCGGGCAACTCGGGCATTTCGAGTTTAACTTAGATCGAGCTTAGACAGGCAACCTCGAGTTACAATTCAGGCTTAGGCAGACCTAGACAGATCTCAACACAACTTGGACTGAACTTGGACAACCTCTCAACCCGTCCGAGTTGCGCCCCTAAACACAAGAGATCTGAACTGCATCAATCTAGAACATGATTAAGGCAATTATAAACAACTAATTACCTCCCGAGATTGATTTTGAGCGTTTAATTCCTTTATGTTTGCCAGAAATGCACTGAACTGTTCATATGACAAGCGACTCCTGGATTACAAATAAATCCAAAAACAGCCCATAAATGGCCAACCAAGCTGATAAAAATCAATTGCTGCATAAATCAGAGAATCAAAATATACCTAGCTTGACGGAAGAACTCCTTTCCATCAATTCGTGGAGTGCGTGCTTAAAATTTTTGACAGATAGAGTAAGGAAGATTAATCAGAATAAGAAAGGAAACATACAAACATAAAAATTGTTTGTTACAGCAGAACATGCATACAAAGAATAGAATAAAGTACAAGTGACTGTTTCAGACTTTTAGTCGTCTGAGTTTTTTCTTTTCTTTTAAATGATAAAAATAATGGGATGATCTCAACAATTGTTGGCAGTTACAATAAAACTATTGCAAAAGAACCAACGGTAATATCTGACATTCACAAAACTCTTGAAAGTAAAGCTGAATTTGCAAAACTCTTCCAAACCTGGAGCTTGGCGTCTGTGAGGAGGGGAGTTAGCAGCTGATGACTGCTGGCTCGAGGGGTACCATGAAGACAGTGCACCATGTCCATCATATTGAGTTCTTGTGGGAGACATGGTACGAGAAGTTTCCTGAGGAGATCCATCAGCAGAATACCTTCTTGGGGATCCAGTTGTGGATATGATTTTTGGAGTTCCAGTTGGAGTAAACCGTGGTGTTATATACGGCGTCATAGAAAATTTTTTCCCAGCTTGCTTTGAGGCTGTAGGCCAAACAAGCAGCACAGATCATGCCATGAATAAGAAATACAAATGCCAAACAAAACCCAAGAGTCAAGTTCAAATACCATCATCAGTTGGGTATGCACATTCTGTAGAGCCTCTTAAGGAATATGGTGATGTGTGGCCATTCATCTCCTCATCTATAAGTGGCAAGAGCCAAGAAAAATTTGTAGAAAGAGAAGAGTTCAATTAGATGAAAATAACAAAAAATGAAAAATTGTATCAAATCAGGTTGTAAGTACCTTTCACAGGATAGGGTTTGGGAACTGATTGGTCACAGGTCACGATATCAACAGTTTCAGCTTGCTGTTGAAATGAGAAAATAATAATAAAAATAGTGTCACAAAAAAGAATTTTTCATTGTTTCAAACAGTCCACATAAATTGCAAAGAATTGTTGGAGGAAATCAGCAACAAAGTCAACATAAGGGTTGTGAACAACTGGTATAGAAATCTTACAGGCAAATTATCATCATTTAGTGACTGCATCAGTTGTCTCTTGAATGTCTCCAGCTGTCAAAAGACTCAAAACAACTCAGATAAGTTTTTGCACCAAATTAATATAATAGAAACTGGAAATTTAAAGTTATGACACCAGCAAAAACAGGACATCTGATATTCTAATTGCACATTAAAGTTTTGCCGCTTCCCAACTCTTGTCAAAGATGCATGTCCTTTAAGCACAGCCTTTTTCCCAAAAAATTGATTAGTATTTTATGAAAACACAAAATCAGAAGCATTTTTCTCTTCATTAATGTTCAATTAACTTCAGCAATTATCTCCCTATTAATTATGAGGCAGACATTTGTGATTTAAGCGTCAACTTCTCACAATACATATGATATTTATATACCGCCCAAAGAGAAATATATGCATGAGTAAAAGGAAACCTAGATCTCAAACTTCAACATGCAGAGATAGTTCCATACTTGTAGTTTTTATGATTTTTTGTCATGTTTCTACTGAACCTAGATAGATAATGCAACAAAATTTCAATCTACCCTTCAAAGGAACCCGAAGCAAACTAAGTATATTAAGGATACAGTATTCAAGCATTTGTTGTGTTCCTATCAATTCCTAATATATTCTCGGGCACTCACCGTTCTTGCAAAGAAAAAATTAAAAAACACGAAGGAGTTTAGGAAAAGAGCCCTAGAATGGAACAACATACAAATGCTTAATTAACATGCAATCTATACTAAATTTTTATCATAAAACAATGATGAGAAAGCAAATTCCATAAATTAGTAGTCAATGCAGCTTCAACAACATTTTATTTCCATTCATGAGTTCTCAATCGAAGCAATGAAAGGTACAAAAATCTCACCTTGGCCAAATCACGGCCTAGTTTCTTCACTGTCATGGCCAATGAATCTCGATCCTTTGAAAGCTTCACCTTCAATTAAAAACAGAATAGCACCAAAAACAAATCAATCATCTATTCAATTCAATTTAATTCCTTAAAAAATCACAGATAGAGAGAGAAAATTCACATACATTATCATCACGAGCCATTCTCAAGAGCGAATCTGATTCGTGACAGGCCTGTTGGAGGTGCGAAACCTTGTCTTGGAGCTCCAAAATCAGGCGATCCTTGTCGTGACTCTTCTGCCTCAACCTCCCAACCTCCGACTCGAGCTTCGAAACGCGAGAGGCGATTGCCATGGACGTGATCTTCCTGGCCAGATCGAGCTGGTCGTAGGGGTCGGTTGGAATCACCGCCAGAATCTCATCGGGTAAATGAAAGTCCGGGCCGCCTCCGCTGCTCTGCTGCGACATCTTCAATCCAAATTTTTCCCTCTCAAGCCCTAATTTTATTTGATGGATGTGTGGAGAGAGAGAGAGAGAGAAGTTGGAGAAGATGGAGAGCGAGGAGGGGCTTCGGAGAAAACGATAAGTGAATTGTGAATTGTAAATGTTAGCTTTTTCTTGCTCTCTATTTGCTTTGTCTTTCTAGGAATGTGTTTGGTTGGTGGCCTTTAAAATTTTTATACTACTAATAAGGGGTTTGGGGGATTCGTTGTCCGGAACTGCGAGTTTTGAAAATTTTGGGTTTCCCTCCAAAATTTAAATGAATACTTGTCTCTTCACTTTTGGTTAGGGCTGAGCAAGGAATCCGTGAAATCCGTAATCCGATCCAGTCCAGTCCAATCCAGTAGGTTTGGATTGATTTTTTGAATCCGTGGTTCGGTTCCGGATTGAAAAATTAAAAATCCGTAGTTCACGGATTGGTTCTGGATTGAATCCTACGGTTCTGGATTGGAACCGATCCGGACCGTATACAAATAGTCTATATTTTTATTATACACCCTCCTGCATAGTATCTTCTCTTATTTCATATAAAATTTAAATACAAACCTAAACTTGCATAGTATCTTCTTTTATTACTTTTGTTTGCTAGTTTTTAGTGTTAATTTGTAATGGTCTAAATACTTATGGTGGAACTAGTTTCTTTATGGTTGTTTAAATTCTAGAACAGTTTGTCGCTATTATAAAAAGACATATTGCTATTATGAAAAGACATATTGCTATTGTGAAACTAATATGGTGCTATATTTATATTTTTATGAAAATAAAGTGTTATATATATATTTTTGTTATTGAATTATATAAATCCGTGGTCCTAAACCGATCCAATCCGTATTTAAATGGATTGGTTCGGATTGGTTCCACGATTTAAACGGATTGGATTGGTTCCAATTTTTCAGGATCCGTAGATAATGGATTGGTTCTGGTTTTACTTTAATCCGGTCCAATCCGGACCATGCTCACCCCTACTTTTGGTAAATAGGTCTTGATTATTATCTTTGAAAAATAAAAATAAAACTGACCTGTAAATCTTAATAGATAGACATATTATCTAATAGGTTTTGTAAGAATTAATGATATTTTTTATCCAATATTATTAAAAACGTTACAAATTGTTAATTTTCAGTGACAGTTTAAAAATTATGTCACAAAATATATCACTAATTCGTCACAAAAAATTACTAATTTTTAATTTTCAACAGCAATTTAAAAAATTCATTACAGAAAAATATCATTAATTGTAAGTTTTAACAACAATTTATAACAATTGTGACAAACAAAAAGTCATTAATTGTCAATTTTTAGCTACATATGCAACAAATTATTTTTAGCAAGAATTTTACTATTACTTATTTTCAATAGAATTTAATGGAAATTAAGTTCAGCTATTAGAGTCTATGGGCAGTTTACCAAAAAAACAAATGGTATAAGAGCATCTCTAATTTTTTATCAAACTTAAGTAAAAATTTGATGAAAAATTTCATTTGATACCATGCGTTTTAACACTAATTTTTCAAATTTTATCAAATAGCCAATTGACCGGGAGGACAACTAACAATGGACAACTTTGCAAGCAGAAGGTTATTCGAGAGGACAACTGACAGAACAACCAGCCGATTGTTCGGTGTACGGTGAAACCTCAACGACTATCATCAAAAATTCAAATTCAATAAAAAAAATAAACAAATAAGTGTTGGAGACACTAACAAGTGGCCTTTGGACAATTTTTAGTAAGGAAAAATTACAAATTGGTGGTTTCAGGAAATAATTATCAATCTATTAAAAAAAACTTAAGTTTTAATTATTAATATTAATATTTATAAAAATTGTCACTGATTTGTAATTCTTTTTTATAAATAGCACTGAAGTGATATTTCTCCTTTTATTAATATTAAATTTTGTGTAGAAAGTGTTTTTAAAATAATAAAAATTATATTTCAATTATTAAAATTGTAAATGGTTAGGCATTGTTTATTACTGTTGTCATGTCTTATTTTGTGTATAAAATTAGTTTGTAAATAAAAAAAAATTAGAGAAACATATTAGGTGAATTGTCAAAAATAGTAGGCAACGGTGGAAGATGAACATATCACAAAAGGTGATTAGAGTTAATCGTCATAATATCATACCAAGGTCATAACAGTGACCGACTAATAATCACTGGGAGATGGTTGGAACTTGCCAATTGTGGTGGGACTTTTCTCATGTGTGCCTTGCATATGGTATGCAAGGCAGTTACACCCTTCCATTTTGCATTTACACATTTATATGTATTGGGTTATATCAAAATATTTGGAAACTTATACATTGGTGACCTGCTAAGCAAATCACTGGGAGATGGTTGGAACTTGCCAATTGTGGTGAGACAAAACAAAAGTAAAAATTTATTTTTGAAAAAAAAAAGAGAGTAAAAACAACTCTTTTTTAGTTTTTAAAAAATTTTGAAATTTATGGATTTAATACCATTTTTTGTACTCAAGAAGAAAGGAAAAAAAGATTTGCGGACAAAAGATCCAAACATGATAATGACCCCGTTTGGTGTAGCTGTTAAAACAGCTTAAAGATTATAACTTAACAGATTATAGATTATGACTTTAATCAGAAGTTGTTAATCTGTTTGGTGTAGCTGTTGGATTATAGATTTAAGTTGAGTAGTGTTTGTTAAATAAGTTGTAAAATAACTTTTTCAATTAATTTTTATTTTTTGTTTGTCTACATTTCTCATAAATAATAATAATAATAATAATTTATAGTCCATTTGAGTCTTTTTCTATTTTTAAAAAAATAAAAAATAAAAAAATTTAAGAGCATAACCATAAATTAACATGTCCACGGCAGAAGCTGATAATCAGAAGCAAGGGGTGAGTAGCTTCTCAGAATCAGCTTTTTTGAGTTAAAATAAGCTGTTAGAATCAGAAGCTGTTTGAAATAAGTTTAACCAAACAGTCTAAAATAACTTTTTCAAAACTAAAAGCCATAAGTTGACTCTGAAAAGCTGAAACAAACACCCCCAATGTAGAAAAAAATGTGGACCAACCAGCCTCTGTAGAGCTTTAGAGATTCCCATCGCGTATACATTAAGATACACTACATGTACATAATCTTCAAACACGATAATGTAGAAAAGAATGTGAACCAACCAGCCTCTGTAGAGCTTTGGAGATTCCCATCGCGTATACATTAAGATACACTACATGTACATAATCTTCAAAGACCATTGATTTCACATGATTAAAAATATTAGAAATTTTTAAAAATTTATTAAAATTTTTACCAAATGTATAACATAGATGTGAGACTCACATGTGAATCTTCACATGAGTTCTACACTAATGTAAAACATTTAACAAAACTGTAACAATTTCTAACATTACTCATTTCTCATTCATAGTGCTCTGGGAAAGTTTGGTAACCCAGACTAATCCAAAATTTTGTGAGTAAGTAATTGTATAGTGAATGTTAATTTGTATAGGGTGAGCTCCATGTAATGTGTGATAAAAATTAATTTCTGGATAATTTCAGAGTTGATAAGAGTAAATTTGTAGAATTACTCTAATGCTTTTTTAGCTATGAAATTTCTCAAACACTATGCAGTCATGAAAGAGCACCAAAAAAAACCATTGCAAAACCTGGGAGCTAGCGAAGAAGAAACAACCTGTGACATTTCTTCAAATAAAAAACAACATTTTAAAAATCGAAAGTTTCATGTAAGAAAAGAAGATAATAACAATGAGAATCTTCACCTCACAATTAAAATCCATATCTCACGATTGTCATGACAGAGAAAATAATCGTCCAATAATAACATTAAGTTCTCCAACAGAACATGATTGAAACACATTTTCAGAATAGACTGGCAACATACAACTGAGAAGAATATCAACAGTATCCTCTATTCAAATCATTAAAATTCCTCAACTAGCTATCATAATCGTTACCTCATCATCGACTTGGACTTGATAAGTCCCAAATATTAAAAGAGATCAAAACAGAGAAAACACAGGTAATACCATAAATCCACTGAACTTTGTTTATAATCACCCTAGTTCCTTTCATACAAATTTCACCGTAAAACACAGCTAGGGAAAGTTCACCCTAGTAGTTGGACCAAACTATCAGCCTGAAAATGGACCTCCATGGTCCATACTGAGTAGTCCCAGCCACAGAATTATCACCTACTGCTACATTCTGTTGGCAGCCGAATCAATAAAATATTCAAAGCATACTCATAATTGTTGAACACTGGCACCATTCACACATGATTTTCCTGTATGTGCCTTTTTTGATCCCTTTCTGAATAACCACCGAGTCTGGCTGACCTGTTTCTATCTTCTGGAAATTCATGGTGATTATGCTGGTGGGACCCAGGAACGAAATCATGCCGCTGCTTCCCCTCCATTGGTCTGTCCGGTGGGCTCCCCACCTTTCTCTTGCGATTTCCAGACTTCGGTGACCGATATGCATGGCCAGCATCCTCAAATGCCGCCACCTCCCCTTCTTCCACATTCTCAAAGCCTTGACCTCGTGACAACTGCCCTTTCATTCCTTGGCGGTGTCCATCTCCACCATCATCTTGATGCTTCCCATGATGTGTATTCTCATTATCCGACCAGCTTGAAGATTTGGGCCAGCTCTGCCTCCTCTCCCGCTTGATCTTCTCACTGTCAGCAGCCAATTCAATCCCATCTTCCAGTTCCCTCTCAATGAGATCATCCTCATCCATCAAGTCTGTTTTCCGAGCTAGGTCACCACGGGCCTTTCTTCGTTTCTCTAGGGCTGCCTTTACCTTGTCTTTGTCAATCTTTTTAATAATAGCTTCTTGGGGTGATTGGCCAAGTGTACCGTCTCTGTATTCCAGATTTCGACCATGGTATTTGTCCTTCACTTCCCCTGCTTCTCTTGTATCACTTCTCGCAGCATTCCTTTCTTGATCTTCTTCGCCATGTCCTTCTGAAACGAACCTAGGTCTGTTTTGGATTTCCTCCATGTTTTCCTGGTAAAGTGATTGCTCTGATTCATGGTGTTGATTGACCTCACCATCTCCTTTGTGGCCTGCAATACCCTTTATCTCGGTGCTCCCATAGTCATTATTCCAATTTTGGGTGCTTTTCGAAGGCCCAACATGATTATCAGCGTATGAATGATCAGGCAACGGCCGAGATGATGTTGGCTTCGAGGTTCCAGGCTTTGAAATAGTACCTCCGCCCTGAGAATTACTGTTATTTGTTGCATGTTCCTCATTGCCAGTAGCAGGTTTTGAAGGGGCCCGAAGACTAATCCCAGCCCCAGCACTTCCTTCTGCTTCACTTGCCTGAGAAGGCGGTACTCTATTTTGTTCATACAGTTCTAACATTTGATTGCTAACCTCTGCACAAAATGAACAATCAGGGGGGTTAAATGCAATATTCAATATCCGCAAAAGTAACATGAACTAGTTAAAAAATAGTATAGCAGTCCAGTGTTGCAAAATAAGATACAATCAAAGAGGTGATTACAGGGCATATAAAGAATTTTAACAATAATAAAAATGGTTAATGATAAAAAATAAATAAAACGTAATATGCTGCATAAAAAATGTCGAATTGCATAATATATATAAATAAATAAACAATTATCAATATCAGCATCCGTGTGGATAACTTTCTTTCCTAGGCGTAAAGGAAAATAAAAGAGAAATGAATGCACAATATTAAAATGAACCAAACCAAACTAAACCTTAAGTCGTTCCATCAAATAGGGTCGGCTACATGAAGCCTTAAAATAAGAAGAAAAAGAAGAAGAGAGACACTGTCCATGTCACCATCCACGTGGTGGTGGTGGTTTTGGGCTATATATGCATATAAGATGAGATTGTATTTAATTCACAAAGAATAGTAAAGCACTATAGGTTTACGTCATTGTTTTTCAAAGGAAGGCAAGCAACCAACCCTCCAATTGGCGTGGGGTGACATCAAACTCCTGCCACCAAACCTTCTCACCGTCAGATGGGAGCTTAACTTTGAGGAACTTGGCAGCAAGGAAGATGGCACCTGCTGCAATGTGGTGTGGCTTAAATTGCAAGCAAAGAGATGTCCGCAGCCTGCATGCCCGCTTCCGAGTCAAAAAGAGAGAAGGAATAATGACCATGGATGGGCATTATATAAAAGAACAAGAAATCTGTCATACCCATCATTCACAAAATTCCATGCAACTTGAGCAAGGGCATTTTGAGCAACCTTGAATTTCTTTATTGCCTCAACAAGGGGTTTATATGGATGATGCACATTAAGATCAAAACCAAGAGTTGCAAGTACAATCCTCTCTCCCAGTAAAATTAGTTCTTTTTGTTGTTCATATACCTCCTGCATGATTGATGTCAGTAAGTCAAGTATGAAGTAAAACTTCAAATTACCAAAATTACCTCCTTCAAAATAAAAATAAAAAAGATGAAGGTTGAGATATGAAAAAAATACATAGGCGAGGACCACTCAAGTTATTTTCTATTTGCAGTGGCATCAACCTTTTTTGTGCTATAGGCATTTGAAGAAGAGAGTATAGAAGATGGGCCTATCACATACGCATAATAATGAACCAAATAAGCTCAAGTGGAGAACATGTGAATAAAAGATGTTACCATAAGCACTAACCAAACCAAGCCTTAAGTCCCATAAAATAGTACCTTTTGCTTGATCCTCTGTACTGCGGCAGGATCTTTTTTATGAATAATTTCGTAAGAAACAAGTATAACATCCTTTAATGGGCGAGGAGTTTCTTCAACCTTTCCCGCAAGAAACATACACACTGTTGCAATAGTCTGAAAGAAATTTTAGAGAAGTTAGAAATATCAAAGAAATTGGGTTCCAGGACAAATCATCTGCCCAAAGCCAGATGATTGTATGCTGTCGATCATTGCGAAAAACCACTACATATATTAAGTGTCAAGTATAAAATCATGATACACCAAAATTCCAACACTCCACACACATGGAGTATTGGTTCAAGTCTACCGACACAAATCAGTAACAAATTAACAAGGGTAAATTACACGGACTCCATTTTTTTTATTAGCAATACACCAACACACCATTAAGTATCAAAATTACACCATCCTTCTCTCCAATAACGGTAGCTGCAATGGAGTTGAAAGTGATGAAATTACATTTTTAACCACATATATGTGTGCAATAATGTTAAATTATACAATTATCCTTCTTAATTGAGAATTGACCTAATTACACTCGGAATCTTTTCCTCCTTCCTCACAGCCATCACCACCACTGCCACCTTTGATTCTCTCTCCTCCCTCACCCACCACCGTCTCCCTCCATCACAACCACCGCCCTCATAGCCACCCATCTACCATAACCCCAATACCACACCACCGACACCCCTCTCTCTCTTCTCCTCCTCCCTCACCTATACACTGCAATCCCAACAGCACTGCCATCCCTCTCTCTCAAAGCCCTCTGTCATCTCCCTCACCCACCAACCACAACCCCAATGCCATAGCCATAGCCATTGCCACCGCCATCTCTCTCTCTTCCCCGTCATCTCCCTCACCCCCTCCAACCTGCTTGTCCTTCCCCGTAAGCAACCTCTTCTCCCCAAACAGGGCAAATTTTGATTGTGGTGGCAACTGATAATTGTGGGTTTCAACTCTCAAGGGTTCTCTGATTTTTTATTGTGGCAGCAATTGATGTTTGTGTCTCCAATTTTGGCTTCCAATTGATGTTTTGTGATGCCAATGGGGGTAGACTTGATGAGTTTGAAGAAAGTGTGTATGGATGTACTGCTAATTACACAACAAACATATGCATATACGTAGTGTATATATATGTAAATGCTTGTTCGTATATTGTATACACTTCAGAGGAAAAGGTTAATATTGGAGTAAACATGGCAACATATTGTTGAACTATTGCACATTATTTTTTTATTAATTGCAAACTAGCTGCTGCACATAATTTACTTTAGCAAAAAAAATCACTTTGTAAACAGCTCTGTAACAACGTGAGGTAATGTGAATCTATGTTATTTGGACTCTAGTATGAGTATTGGGTGCAGGTATTGGGAGTGTGCAAGAGCCCAAGCATCGGATCCCTTTAAATCTAAATCTTAGGGTATTGGGATATGCATCCAAAAGTTAGGTAAGGATACAAAGACACGTCTTAAACACTTATATATTATACTGTATAATATTCTTAGATAAAATGTTATAAATTATTTTAAAATTTACTTCAAATTAAATGCGATTTGGGAAAAATAAGAAATTTATATTTTAAACATTCATGTGAAAAACTGCAATGTTTCTTTACCAGCAAATGTGAGTGTCTTCTTTTTCAAACATCATATAAATTAGAGATCTAAATGTCTAAATTGGGTATGGGTTTTAAGACATATATCCCACACCCTTGCCCTGTCACATCCGGTGGACATGGATATATTGGGGATAGTAACACAAATCTATTGGGAGGCCAGTGTAATATTCCCCTACTAAGGGGCTGCCTGTAATAAACCCAAACCTCATGTGAGGTCAATGTAATTTACCCAATTAACAAAGTTGACGTTAAGCCAGATTGCAAAATGTCCTTGCATTAGACTGATTGCATAGAAGAAATTTGCCAACTCAGAGATCCACTCAATTAACAAAAGTATCCTGAAATTACATCCCCCCCAAAACCATAGAGCTTCCAAAGACTATTCGTCTAAAAAAGGGAGCATTTTTTTTATATTTTATAATTTGGTTCTTGAGGAGGGGATTAGGGGGATGGCAAAATATAAGGTGTCCAAGTACAACAAGCATTAGCAGAGCTCATCGACTGATGCTTCCCCTGCCCTCCACAGTGTATGGTCCAATGACATGAAGATGATAAAAGTCCCTAATCATTTTATTCTTTAGCGTTAAAAACAAAAATGAAATCCACCACAACATTCTTTCTTCATCTTTTTTTAAACAATTATTGCATGTCAAAGCATCCCTTGCGATTAATAATATCCCCCAAGTACCAGTGTATATAATAGCTCAAAGCTTCAGTACTGCCTATCTGTAAACTCAAGTTGCTAGTTATCTGGTATCCCTTATTCACAGCCTTCACCAGATTTAACTGTCTGGAAGACTGGAACATTTTATTCATATTCTATCTACCCTGTAATTTCCATAACGTTACATTACCAAATGCCAACGTTCCTAGAAATATATTGCCCAAGACATTGTTGCTTGCAACTAACTAATGAGAGATCCCATTTAGCTAAGATTCCTAATGAGGCACAAAAAGGATGACAGGTTAAAAGCTACAAAGGATCAAAAACTCACCCTCCTATCATTCTTTGCATGGGATTGACGAAGGAAGAAACGGTGACAGAAAATTATTGCAGTAGCAATTGTTACCTGAGGCCTGCATTTAAAAACATACACTGTCACATGTGTAATGAAAAATCAAAATTCTACAACCACAGATTAGAGGCATACAAATATGAGACAGAAAGCAATACACAAGCATTAATGAAAAGATCTAAGATGATGAATAAGCTAACAGTCTTCTGTGCTGAAGACATGAACCTATGAAAAACTCTGGTACACATAGAAAAACCTCACCCCAAGCTCAGGACATAATCCCATACCTACAGTGATGTTTCTGTGGCACCTCCACTGTCAGGTTGTCTCTTACAAGTTCAGTGTTTAGTTTCATTTAAAAGTATTACAGCTGTCAACTCATCTATTCGCATAGAAGAGTTCAGCGATGCTAATAATAAACCTGAGGGAAAGCCAGAGCAAGATATAGACCACTTCTACATGCAATGATTTTGCAGGGTCTTAAACTCATTACAGGCTGCAACAGCAATGAGACACAAATTCACCAGTGTAACAGCCTGTAGTAATGCAGTAATGGGCACAACAGCACCATAACAGCCATAGCAGCCCTTTATGGTGCCATAATGACCGCAACTGCTCCATAGTGGTTGAATAAGTGAATTTCTAAATAGGTATCTTTTTCTTTTTATTAACCAAGCCTTTACTTGTATATAAATCTACATATCTATATCTATGTGTGTGTGTGTGCGCGCGCGCGTCTTTGCAAGCTACAAAACATTAAAATTTGATGGTAAATCTTAAATCTCAAGATTGAAAGGTTGTTAGGTATTCCAAATTTATTTTTTCTTTTGAAATGTTTTTCATCAATTTCTTCTTCTTTTTTATAGGTAAATACATTCATGAAAGGCACAAGTACAACATGGCAACTACTAGTCATCTGCAAAAGATTTTAACTCTCCCATAAAATCAACAACATCAAACCTTTTTTTGACCCTTTTGATTGGTATCGTCCTTCCTTCCCAACTTTCACATAGAGAGAGCACCAGATCTAGCAAACCTAATAAACTCCACAAATAAAAAAGTGAACTACACAGGCATCAAGCCACTTCGCAATACAGTGAAAGGTGATTAACCGACTCCTCTGCATTCCTACACATGCAGCAAAAGGCCACCAATAACGGAATATCCCTGCACCACATATCATACCAAAATTTAACATGTTCCCTCTCCGATAACAAATTTCATATGGAGAAAATTTAAACCAATCTTCCCTAATTCTTTTCCACACACCAACCTTGTACGAACCCCCAAATTCCTTATGTCTCCACCCTTTCAGAGTAATACTTGCATTAAAATAATCTTATACCAAATGCATACTTCTTCGAAAGCATATCTCCACAACCATTTACCCAACAACACTTGATTGAAGCGTCTAAAATGCCTAATTTCGGAGCCCACTTTGAAACTAGAAAAACGCAATATGTCCCCAATCATCCCAACCTAAAAGGACACCTCCCAACCTACCTACCGAAGGCAAAATAACCTAAATTTTAGTTTCCTGCAATATCACAATATCTGGACAATGTTTGACAAGCAGCTCTTTAACCACACTTCTTCCAAATCTAGACCGTAAACCTCGTCCATTCCAACTAACAATTTTCATTGGGTAGAAGCATTATCCCGCCCCACCCTTGATACCCCATCGTAGTTAACTCCAGTCTCAAAATTTCTTAGCTCTCTCAAACATTTCTAGCTACTACCTACCTTCACATTTCTTCGCCTCAAAAGAACCCCCACCCTTTGCCCCTCCCCTTGTCTTCCTAACCAAAGATAGCCCTGTACCTTCAAAAACCTTCTTAAGTTGATTGATCCCTAATGGGGAAAGAAAGAACATTCTTTAAACTCAAAACTCAAAACCCAAAATTCAACATAACTGATCTAACTACCCCCTTCAACTACCCCACTTGCCCTGACTCGAGACTAAGGAACAATTGGCTTCTGATCATTCCTAAGTTTAGGGATTTTGTGGGTGGCTGGCAAGGGGGTAGAAATCAAGTCATTTTTGAAAGTTTACCAGAGGCTATGTGTGATGATTTACATTGAGAGATTTCAACCATTGTTGTCCATTACAATGGACAGTGCCTAATTGTGTGTGAAGCCCAAATGAACAATTAATAAATGCAAGCTAGGATGTTACTATTCAAATTAATTAATTATGTCATTCGCCTATCAATAAAATTCAGTAAGGCCTCGTTTACTAACAAAATCATTACTAATCTTAGGGATGTACAAAAATCCGAACCACCCGCTCAAACCGACGAAACGAACTCGAAAAATCAGTCAATGATCGGTTTTTATGTATTTAACGGTCGGCTACGGTTGATGAGAATGAAAATTTTCATTTTCTCGAACGGGTATCGGGCTTAAACAGTCTGTATTCATTGACACCGAACCAACCGACAATGATTTGTAATGATACATTTACCCATGCCATTAATTTATTGGTTGTGCAAATTGCAGATTGTCTCTATAGCCTATATAGTATAGACATCATTAGTTGATTGTGACCCACTATCCTCTATCTATAGCCTATGTCACATGTTCACTTTTCGCTCTCTCTCTCTCATTTCGTTTTTCTTTCAATCTATTTCTCTCTCATGTGTTTACCATTTCTTTCACCCTCTCTCTGTCCTTCCCTCTGTCTCTCCTTTCTCTCTTCTTGTATCTCACTCTATCTTCGATGTGCCTTCCTTCCTTCTTTCTCAAATCTGCAATTCATCACCCCCAAAACTCCTTTCTCTCTCCAAGCAATTCCTACTCCGATCATCCTGATTTCTGAAATCCGATGGTGCAAGGTCCAAAACTCCAGATCGGTGGTAGCTATTGTGAGATTGCGTCAAGATAATTGTGGTGGTGGCGTCAAGATCATCGCGGAAACTATGAGATTATCACGATGGTAAAGATCTAATCTCCTTTCTCCCGAAACCCCTCAATCTTCTTATGTTTTGTTGTAGTGAATCGTGATGGTGGGTTTGGTGCGGGGCCGACCGAAGTCCGACCGGCTTTTCGATTACTCGAAGCGATCGGTTTCAAACCATTCTCCGGTCAAGATCGGTTGAAGTTTACACCAATCCGAAGTTTGTCGGTTCGAGTACGGATGGCCGGCAAAACCGATCTGATCCGACCCGTGTACAGCCCTAACTAATCTTAAAAGTAGTTTTTCTTTAAACTGTTTGTTTATGCAATAGGCAACTTTTTAAGCATTTATCATATGGGTGTATCGGTTGAAACAACTATCACAATTAGCCATCACTGCTCTTTAAACTGTTTGTTTATGCAATAGGCAACTTTTTAAGCATTTATCATATGGGTGTATCAGTTGAAACAACTATCACAATTAGCCATCACTGCTCATTTAAACCAAACAACTTACAAGACCAAAAATAGAATTCCAACAGTTGAGCATCTATAGGTACATGCATATGTAATTTTGAAAAGCCAATCAACAAAGGCAATTGCTTATAACTAGAAATAAAGGGAGAGTAGAAGATAATTCAAAACACTAAATTGGTGGAACAAATACTTACACTTTAAGCCTCATGCCCAAATCTTGTAAGAATGTACAGTATGACTTGCGTATATAAGTCTCTTTCTTCAAATCGATGCCATCTTGTCTTGATGGAGAATTTTCTTCTATTTCCTTCCTAGAGAAATACCAACGGCCACCATCCTCTGGCTTTTCCTGAGAAAAATTGTAAGGCCCACCTTCGTACATTCCCTGATGTGAAGGATCACCAGGTAACATACCAGCCATGTGTATCTCTTTCCACCAAATGTATATATTTTTTTGACAATCACCAAATGTATATATGATTTCACTGATTTGTGTGGAAGGTTTTCTTTCTTTCTTTCTTTCTTTCTTTCTTTCTTTCTTTCCTTCCTTCTTAAATGGAAGGCCTTGCCTATTAAATGCTCACATCACCATCATCCAGTTGCATCCTGTCTGTGGATTAACATGGTAAATCAAGAAATTAGGTTATAATGAAATTAGGTTATAAGCAATCATTTTTTTATATTAAGAAAACAAAATAGTTTGTAGAAATTTCCATATAGGCATAAAGATGAGTAGAGAGAATAACTAACAAAAACAGGACCATCATAAATTCAAATATTACTAAGAACCGCACAGTTTCTTCCTGGATTTGTACAACTGCACATTACACATTAGACAACTTTAATGTTGTAGCTTTTCTTGCCTACTCCATTAGAAAGTTGAATAACTCTTGAGGTTTAGCCCCACCTTATACACTCTGACTGTGTTGTGTTCTTTCCAATTATAACTCCATTTGGTTCACGTAACAGATTTTCCAAGCAAAAAACATAGTCACAGTAAAATATTCACGCTAAAATAATGGTTGCCCTCATAGCTTTGGGTATTTGAGCATTTGGGGGCCAAATAAGGCCTTAGAAAAAACAAACAAAAATTGCATATATCTAAGTGAAGTTAACCTGGTTGCATATAATTTACTCATATTCTGGTTCTGAGTATTTGGAGACCCTAACCGGAAATCGGAAAAATCACTATCTATCTACAAAGCAGAAAATTAAAATAATATTAAAAAAAAAAGGATCAAAACCCTAAAAATAATTCTTGCGCAGAAACAATTTTTGATTAAACCCTAAAATTATCGCCTATGAAACTGGAAAGAGATAGAGGTAGTGTAAAATTGGAATGCCAGAACAAACGGTGAAACTCTCTGATACATGATCAAGGTTATCGATGTAGCGTATCAAAATATTTACAAAAACATTGCCGACAAGATACATACATACATACATATATATATATATATATATATAGAGAGAGAGAGAGAGAGAGAGAGAGAGAGAGAGAAGATTAACCTGGTGAAGGCAAAGTAATCGTAATTTGCCTTCGGCTTTGTGATTCTTATCTTTGCACCTCGGGGTTGATTTGGTTTTTGAAGAAACAAAAACACAAATGCAATTAAACTGAATTCAGAAGCAGCACTTTCTGGGTTTGGGATAGTAATGAACGATTGAACTCGCTCTATCCAACCCTAGCACTCTCTCTATCAAAATGTACATATTCGCAATTATATAGTTTAGTCAAAAATAAAAAATAAAAAAATAAAAAAAAAAAATTAAAAGATTATTATAGGTTATTATATCACTTATTTTTTTCTTTTTTCTTTTTCTTTTCTTTTTTTTTTTTTGTGTATATTTTTCATAAAAAATTAAAAAGTTATTAAAATAATTTATTCTCAAATAAGGGCTTAGTAGGTTATTTTAGTTTTTAATTATTTTATTAGTTTAAATTTTTTGTGTTTGAGAAAATAATTGTATTTTTTATAGTTAGATGTGATATTTATATGAGAAAAAGTAAAATAATTATGAATTTGATATAATATTTTGTCTTATTAATTATTTTAACATATTTTGTCATTTTGTAAATTTTAGTCTAAAAAACTAAAAAATAACATTTGCCAAACACCCCGAATAAATAACCGAGTTCACATCATGCCACCTTTGGGTCGAACCGGCAATAGGACTCCAAATCAAACCAGCCTAGTCGAATTTTAATATATTTGAATTTATCCATTAAGATTTTTAAATTTAAATTTGAACTCAATAAAAATTTAAGCTATGTTTGGATTTGTTTTTTTGGCTAAAAATCATAAAAGACAAAATTGTTATAAGTCAATAAAACAAAATGTCATATTCCAACCATAATTGTTACACTTTTTCTCTCACAAAAATAAAAAAAACCAAAAATAAAAACCAAGTGAGACTAAAAAAGTCAGGCTAAAATAATCAAAAAGCCAGACTATTTTAACTCTATCCAAACCAAAACTTAATAAATCGAGTTTGAGTTGAGTTGAGTTGAGTTGAGTTGACTTAGACTTGAGTTTGAACCTATTCACGAGATTTAACGAGTAAAAAAATTATAAATTTATATTTGCATATGAGACAAAAGTTACAATGAAAATTTTGATTATATAATTATATATACAATATATATAAGCAATTTTTTTTTAAAAAAAAGTTAATATTTTATCAAAATAATAATATCTCCCACCACTATTTTTTAAATGTATTATCTATAGTTAATTATTATTTACATTTATACTTTTTAAATATAGAAATAACATATTTATCTTATTTTTTATATATATTTTTATATTATTTAATATATAAATAATAAATATTAAATGAGCAGTTAACGAACTGAACATACGAGCCAAGTTTTAGTATATTTGGATTTATTTATTAAACGAGCCAAGTTTTAGTATATTTGGATTTATTTATTAAAAATTTAACGAATTCTAGATCAAACTCGAACACAAAAATAAATAAATAAATAAACAAATAACGAATTGAGTTTGAATCTGTTCACAAACGATGTGCTGTTCATTTGCAACCAATCTATTCACGAACGACGCTATTCATTTGCAACTAATTTGTTCACGAACGACCCTATTCATTTTGCAACCTTACCGATAACACATCTTACTTGATTCAGAGCGGTTTAAGGGAGTTTTAGCTTGGATCCAATTCAAACGGTTTATTGATTGGTTTCTTTTTTGTGTGTGTGTGTGTGCTGCTTTGCCATTATGAGTAGAAAAATGCTTATGTTTGTCCAATAAATTTAGCAAGACAAAATTACCTTAATATGATTGGTTTTTTAATCTTCTCATTTTCATTTTTTCTTTTTTTCTTTTCATTTTTTTTTATTATTGAAATAGACTATGAAATTAAGGCCTAATATAAAGGGATGGTTTTGTTGAGTATTCCCAATCCAAACTTGGGGTAAAGGGAACCACTCGATATGTTGAGTTTGAGAGCCTATGTAATGAAAACTAATTTGTGCTCCATTGATGCAATGTGTATATGTCTGTCTAGTGCCATCAGCTATACTGACTAAAGCTGTGGTTATTAAAGTTGTACTCTATCCTAGTGGAACTATGTGTTGTTCAATATATGATTTACTGGCTCCGGTATCTATCATGGCATTTACACAAAGAGTTTTTTCTGTAAATTTGATTACATAAGAGATCTCAACCAAATTTAGCTTGGGTATAACAGGGTAATTAAATGGTAAATATGTGTTGTCGAATTGTGCTTGGGAATATTGACTAAAAGGTTGAGAATCAACTAGGTTGATTAATTTTAAGGAGTGCATATGTTCTTCAACAAGTTTATCTTTTAAAGGATATTTAGAATGAAATTGTTCTAATTGTTGTTTAAGCTATTTGTTTTCCAATTTTAAAAATTCTATGTCAAGATCGGCCTTAGTTTCTATCTCAAGTAGTTGTAGTTTAAGTTCTCTTACTTGTATCTCTAATTCTCTAATTGTTAGGTGTAATTCTTTGTTTTCTATTCTATGCTCACATCTCATTGTTACTTTCTAATGTTATCTTGTGTGTCATATTTAATTTTTCTAGACAAACTATACAATAGGTTATACTGCATAATAAACACTGAGCTCTCTTATTTTTAGCTGGAAACCAATTACAATAACTACATCTAGGGGCATCAAATCCTAGTCCAATCTTAAAATTATGCTGACATTCAGTATCTAGGCTGCATTCCATCATAAAAAAATTATCATGGGAAGAGGGTATTCCTATTTCTTGGTTAAATTATCCTAAAAGATTGTCTATATCTGTATTACTTTCTGAATCACTATCTAAACTTATGGCTTCCATTCGATATCCATAATCATGACTAAGTTATAAACTTCTGAATCATCACTGTTTATGCTAACTATATCTTCTTCTAAATCTTTTATAATATGTAATCTTTCTATCTGTTTATTAGTATTAGGCTTATGTCTTTTTGGGCAGTTTTTTACAAAATGATCAAGTTTTCCACATATAAAACAATTGCATTTTTTATTGCTAGGTTTTCTAACATATCTTTGTTTTCTTTTATTTTTCTCTTCTTTAGGTAGTCGCTTATAATTTATCCTATTAAAAATTCTACTCTTTCTAATGAATTTTTGTTTTCTCTACGGTTTTCTATATTTTATCTTCCAATATTTGTCCATTCTATATTTTCCATATTTTTTCTTATTATATTTATCTTCATATTGTTGAGGAGTATATATTATGGTACTACAAAAATCATAGTTTTGTTTTTTCAAATCTTTCTGTATTTTGACTTCTATACATTTTTATTTAAGCCTTTGGAACGCAAAAACTATTTTAGGTCCTATTCCTAAAGCTCCTCTTATATTTACTTCTCATGAGGCTATTCTTACTGGTAAGTTTGTATAATGATTTGACCATTTATTTTCTATTTCTCTTCCTAGTTCTCCTAGTAATTTCCTAAAATATTTATTTCCTATTTCTTCATCAAAACTTTTTTCAATTCTAGCTGCTATGGCTAAATATTCTTTGCTAAAGGGTACAACATATTTCTAACTTCCTAATGTTATCTTATTTAACTCGGTTAATGCTATACTCTAAGTATAATCATTTCTTCTAGAAGGGTCGTATCCTATAAGAATTTCTTTTATAAAACTAGTAAAATTCCATGGGTTATCTCCTAATCCTTTAAGTTGTCTAATTGTCTCCTCGTATTTTCCTTTAAAAGTTAAATATTTATTAAAAGTTGAATCTCCTAAAAATGTTTCCATATATTCCCACATATCAGTTGAATCAAAGGGATTATTCATCCACGCCTTTACCGTGTCTTTTTCCCATTTCTCTATCATTTCTTGCCATATCTGTGGGTCGAATTTAGCTAAGTTTAAAAAGGTTCCTTGATTGGTTGTTGGTTGTAATTGTATGCTCATATCTGGTTGTCTTCACTTTCCATGAAACTTATACTTTTTATTAGGATCTGCTTTACTACGTCATGTATTGGATAATGGTCTCCTTCCTCCTACGTCATATTGCATTGATTCTACTAGTTATTCTACCGTATGTTGTAGGTTGCTAGTTCTTGTGTTTTCTGTTATTTGAGTGTTCATATAAAAAGTGTCGTCTAAGTTAGGCTGTTCAGGTATTTTAAATATTTTACTTGGATGTATTTTATCTTCTAAAGTATCATCTACATATTTGGTATGAAATTCTTAGTCTAAAAATGACACTGCTTCATCATGGATATCTCTCCTAGCTATATATTCATAGTATCTAGTATCTAATATTTTATTCATAGCACTTAGGGTGAAATTTTCCATATCTATCTCATTAATATTATATATCTTATTTTGTGATATTATTTTTTCTTCTATCATTACATAAAGCTGATTTATGTCAGTATGATTATCTTGATTTTCTTCCCTATCTATACTGCTAAATTCATCATTTTCGGATTTTTCTGGTGCTATATATGTGTATTGAGTAAATCTTACTGCATAGCTTCCATATGTTTTCAATAGAATAAATTATCTTGAGGTGCTAACCTCTTTTGTCCTAAGAAATCTCCTGAATTCCAATCTAATGTTGTATTATCTTGAGAATTGTTTTTTTTAGCCGGTAGTGCCTTTATTCTTTTTACGCCTAATATTTTAACTATTTGATCATTTATAAGGCGATAATGGGTATTGCTTTCTGAGACCTCTAAACCTAAAAATCTTGTGCAAACTAATAACTTCTTTTCTCCTTTTTTCATTTTATATCCTTTACTTTTTATTCCTATTTTTATTTTCTTATGAAAAGTCAAGGTTGGTAAAAGAAAATCTGGTGTAAAATAAACTATTTTTCCTTTCGAATTCATATCTAATTCATAACTACCTAAAATACTTTGTCTTACATCATTAAACCTATCATCACAAAGACATACAAACATTTAGCTCCTAGGATTTCTCTGGTTAAAGCCTTTACTCCTATCACAATTAATTCTAAGTGAGTCATTTTGAGGTGTTCATTTACAGCATAATTATAACTTTATTTATTTATTAAATTTAGCTCTATTTTTCATCTTCTTGAGTTACACTAATCATTTGTTCACCATAGTGTTTAAATAAATATTATTTTTTATGAATTTTTCCTAACTTATATACATACTTAGCTGGAATTAATTCTAGTTTTTCCTTTTTAAAATTTTCTATTTGTTGTTCTACATCTATAAA